TGTGTGTATGTGTGTGTGTGTGTGTGTGTGTGTGTGTGTGTGTGTGTGTGTGTGTATGTGTATGTGTGTGTATGTGTATGTGCATGTGCATGTGCATGTGCATGTGCATGTGTATGTGTATGTGTATGTGTATGTGTGTGTGTGTGTGTGTGTGTGTGTGTGTGTGTGTGTGTGTGTGTGTGTGTGTGTGTGTGTGTGTGTGTGTGTGTGTGTGTGTGTTACACGGAGGCCCTTAAATTAGTTTTTAGGCACTCGTCAGAATTCAATACAGATAGTGTACCTTGACCACAACCTCACTCTACAACACCTCCTCGCCGAGCCTCTATATGTAGTTATACAGCTGTAGTGACCACAACTCTTGTAACAACAACCAGGAAGTTGTAAATGCCCTTTTGTAACTGTTCCATAAAACTGTGTAATTGCATACTGCATGCGCGTGCATTTGTTTGTGTGCAATAATGTATGAATGTATTTCTACATTTGCGTGTCTATTCATGTGTGAGTGAGTGTGTATATGTTACGTACATGTATGAATGTAAGTATGAATACAAGGATGTATAATATTTTCTGATATCTTAAAAATATTGAGTTGCACATAAGGAGTCTCTGACGAGTACAAGGTAAAGTGTACTTGTACATACAGAGTAGAGAGAGTACCTTTTAGGTACTTATAAATGGAAGAACTAAGGCTATTCTAATGGGGGATGGGACAGTCAGACCCATTTACATTTGAAGAGAAATTGAAAATTGGAAGTAATACAAAAGTTATTAGTTTCTAGAGGATTATGGGGCTTAGTACCTTTCCAGAAATGCTGGAATGTGAAGTAGAAAACATTCAACATGTACAAATATATATTGTCAGAGAGAGAGAGAGAGAGAGAGAGAGAGAGAGAGAGAGAGAGAGAGAGAGAGAGAGAGAGAGAGAGAGAGAGAGAGAGAGAGAGAGAGAGAGAGAGAGAGAGATGTATTTTTTATTAAGATAATATTTCAATTCTATCTGTACAATAATTACAATATATATACACATGGGGGGGGGGCGGGGCTACCCAGACCATGGTTGGGGGAAAGGGGGAGGGATGGGGAGGGGGGTGAAGAGGGGGGACGAGGGGGGTGGGGGCGGAGATCGGCTGGGCTGGCCATGTACAAAAATAGCATGACTTGTGAAGTGATTATGTTCTCTATGATACCTAGGTATATGGGTTATATTACTCTGCTAACACTATAGTGAAACCTTGTTTGGCCTAAATCCATTAGGGTCCAAAACATAAATAAAAATACAGTATTTATTGCGTTACCTGCGCAATATGTTTCACTCGATTTCGTTCAATTCAAGTCTCTATTCTACATACACACACTCATATGTTACATAACACATTGACAAAATACAAAACTATACAAGAATGTAGAGGATATGCAGGGATAAAATTATCAATCTGATTAAGAATACTTGGTATATATTGCGTAATAATAACAAATTATCAATGGAATTATAATATATCAACAATGAAAAATAAAAATCACTAGGCAATGAATATTAAGTTCACCACTCGACATCTGTGGGTAAGGCAACGTGACGTAGGGTTATATATTTTTTTCCATTCATTTCGACTTCTTGCAAATTGCAACGAAAAATTAGTTTAATATTACTGTATATATATAATTTACCTGTAATATTAGCTGCATAAAACTTTTTTTTTTCAGAAAGTCTGGTATATAATTGAGATGAGAAAAATTGCTTTCATATTAAACTTAGCAATTACAAACTAAATTAAAAATGATATTAATAAATTGAGAATATTATATTAGCATTTAGAGCAGTAGGAAAGAGAGATAGTGGTTTAATTATATTTTATTTACGCAATTAAATATTTGTAATTAATTAATTATAAGAATGTCTGTATTTTTTTTTCTATTTGCGGCTTTTTCTATCAAAGTCTAAATCCGTCGACATTTGATTTTGTTAAAAATCGTGTTGTTTGCACGTACCAGATTCTATTTTATTTTGGCTTATATTCGTGACATCAGAGTTTCGTTATGTTCGATTGGATATATTAGTGACAGAATTCGTGTGCCTTCGTGACTTGTAATACCTCTTAAATTCACCAAAAATTGTTTATGTTAGTGACATAACACTGGTGACGTCATAATATGTTTACACTCGTGACGTCATACTATGTTTACACTCGTGACGTCATACTATGTTTACACTCGTGACGTCATACTATGTTTACACTCGTGACGTCATACTATGTTTACACTCGTGACGTCATGTTTGACATAATATAGATTTTAACACTCAAGGGTTTAAATTTGTTTCAGGTAAAATAACTCTCGCCCTTTTGCCAAAATGAACGATAAGATATAACACAAAATATAAAACTAAACAATTAAAACTATTACGAACAGTTTGCGATGCCTAGAATTCCCATTTATAGAAGTTCAAGTTATGAATGAATGAGTTGACAAAATTTCCACTCAGTAATGAATGAGGTTGACAAAATCTCCACTCATGAATAAATGAGTTGACAAAATCTCCATTCATCAATGAATGAGTTGACAAAAATCTCCATTCATCAATGAATGAGTTGACAAAAATCTCCATTCATCAATGAATGAGTTGACAAAAATCTCCATTCATGAATGAATGAGTTGACAAAATCTCCACTCATGAATGAATAAGTTGACCAAAATCTTCACTCATGAATGAGTTGACAAAATCTCCACTCACGAATTAACTATTTATTTATTTATTTATTTATCTCTAATGGTTACAAAGATTATTTACAAATAATGCAAAACTTTGTTTCTAATCTAGTTTTGTATAAAACATTTTCATCGCTAAAACAAATTTACAAAGGTACTTAACTAGAGCAATGCTCTGTAAGTCAGTATCAAAGTGTGGAAACTTGCACGACATTTACCTTGCGAAGGGTAGTTATTTTCCCCTCAGGAAGTAGGTATGAAAGCCTATAAACACTATATGCATTGCCGCCACAATCAGTCCATTAAACACAAAAACATTTGTGTTTCATGTAAATATTGACAAATATCAAGTGTTTACTTCCCCAACAAATAAATTTATGAACATTTTAACACATGAATATATAATTTGAAATGATATTAACTCCATACGATGTAAACATATATTTGTAACAACACTGCACTCCCGTGGGAGGTTGCGACACGGAGACACGCACGAAAGGAAGGTTTATGAGTCCAAGTTCGAGGCGTTGGTTCACTCGATGATTCCCCAAAGGCCCCTGTCAACTAGCTCTTAATACAGTGTGATGCTATACCCTTCAATCTTCTCCTCTCTAGTGGGACGTTTTCGCTTCGAAATTCACAAACTCGTCATAGATACCTTTTTGTTTTAGCATCATTTCTGCGACCTATTTATCCTACAAACACATCATGATTTTTCTCATCTCCGAATCCGCAATAATAGTTCTCTGTTTTGATGGGAATTCAATTAATATCGACCAAATTGTATTACGTCATTTGCGATTGTACTTCCCACAATCAGATTGTTTTTATTGACATATTATTTAATTATTTGGAACTCAATGGTTAGTTGCTTTAAACAATTCATTTAATTGGAGTCCAGTATCTATTGTGCTAGTCCTTGACAGCTCAAGGCAAATGGCACTTTATGGCACCCATTGCATAAGGGTTCATTTGCATATGATCCTCTTTGTATATGACTTTCTTAGCATATAACGCCTCTAGTATATGCCACACAATTCAAATGAGACCCTCTATGTGAAACATTTCTGCATATGGCACCCTTCTGGATATATAAACTGCATATGGCACTCTCTACATATGGCACTCTGCACATGGCACTCTGCACATGGCACTCTGCACATGGCACTCTCGGTATATCTCAACAAATTCCAACATCTTGGATCCAAAAATTTTTTTAATTAATATTCATCAACTTACAAATCGTCACATAGTTCAGCGCACAAAAAGGTGTCGATTTTTAATACAAAGATCATGTCCCTGCTGCCCTAAACTCTTTTAAGATATTGACCTTAATTCTCTAAATTTTTTAATCGCTAATTATTACAAAACAGTTCATATCATTTCCTGAAAGCTACCAATAATTATTATATACACCATTACTATAGTCAAAAGGACCACTATTTATATAATAATGTACAGTATCTATAATGATATATAGTATCTGTGATAATATACAGTATTTATATAACTATTTAAAATATAAATATCTCTGATAAAACACTCGTAATCGAACCAAACAATTTGTCTCATTGTGTCACAAAAAAGTTTTCAATCATTCTTATAAATTTAAGAATAAAAACCTCATATGTTATTTTTTCCGTCAATAAATTACAATAACTTTTACGAGATAATTATTTCTTGAGCAAGAAATTAGTATTAAAAAAGATCCATAAAATCAGTTTATACAAAATTTTCTCTGCCTTCCAACATAAAATCTAACTTTTTAGTATAATATTTGTGAGTTATGACGAGTAAGCTGTTGTGGTTGGGACTTGGTTTACGAATGTAGGAGTAGTTATGAGTGTGAAAAATGGAGTGTAGTCGTGAGTGTGTGTTTATACATTGTTATGACAGCGGTTGTAGGTGATACAACATGGTTGTGAAAGGGGAGTGAGCTATGAATGATACGTGATTGTGACATGGGGTAATCAATGATACATGGTAGTTAACGAAGGTAGTAAATGATACGTGGTTGTGAGAAGGGAGGGTTATGAGTGATACATGGTTGTGACATACGCTATGTTATGATGAATGGTTGTAACATATTTGTGGTTAACAATTGACGTGATATTTTGTGCTCTCTGACAAGAAATTATATATATATATATATATATATATATATATATATATATATATATATATATATATATATATATATATATATATATATATATATATATATATTTATTTATTTATTTATATATATTTATATGAAAAGGTGATGTTAATCACTCTGAGTAAATTACTCTATATATGTTTTATATTGAGAACCTCAAGTATAAAATTCTTTCATTGGCATCTATGGTATTATAATTTACATCTTAGTTATGTCCACACCTCAGGCAGTGTGTGATCCACTCATCAGTGTGACTTCAGGATTTGCTCGCCCTTTGAATCCCGTAACTCTCCTGATGCTGAAATGTTCATGTCATCATTAGACCATGTAAACAAAACTCTACACACGCGAGAGGGGGACTCTACTCTGCCCCCTTGGGTACTTGTGGCCACTAAGGGAACACTGCGAAACTTGACGGTGCTCACGCCGTGGAAGACTGCTCCGAGTTTTCGACTCCTCCGTTCAGCATGGCTTCGTTCTGCAAGTCTTCAACGGAGTCTGTAGGCAGCTCCGGGTTAGCTTCCTCCCCCGGCTGGACCTCCTTCCGGTGCATAATCCGGTATCTGTTTACAACGCGGCTCCACTTGATCACGTTCTCAATCCTCCTCACACCCTGGGAACCCTCCATGTTGCTCAGGGGAACCAGGTTCTCTGTTCCCATTGGAAGAGAAAAGGGCTAGTTATCATCTCTCATTGCTGGAATCTAAAAGGATACTCATCCCGACCCGATAACTTCGAAAACTTGACTGTCATTGGTTGTAACATCCAAACTCATTACTCTCAAACCTACCTTCCCGCTAACATCCAACCCCACTAGTTTCTAAACTAGTCTATACAAATTCACTACTTTCTAACCTTACCTACCAGCATCTTTTAACTAAGTTAACCGAGAACTCTGAAAATTGTAATTAATTACATCATAGGTTCTTGAAATTACCGTATATATATATTGTGGTCATGCTCGTGTAGATTATATGATTAATGTCAGAGTAAATCTCATCTTCTGCATTTCGTACTCGCGAGTTCTGGTTTAGATTCGTGATGCTTGACTAAAACTTAAACAATAGTAACTAGCCATTTACCCTGCTAAGGCCCATGACCTCATCATTTACAAACTATGGTTTAGTTTACTTTCCGAACTAGGTTGCCTGGTCCAGCTCTACACCCCTGGCTACAACCTGTGGCTTGATTACATCATTATCTGGACGTTGTCCAACAATCAGCTTATAACCCCTGGCCTGGTCACACCATTACCTGGCTAAGTGCAACACCCTTCCTAGAACCTGGTTACCATTTGCTCCAGAACTGACGTACCTGTGCTTTGTGGCATAATACTTCCCTTGACATACCTATGCTTTGTGGCATAATACTTCCCTTGACATATCTGTGCTTTGTGGCATAATACTTCCCTTGACATACCTGTGCTCTGTGGCATAATACTGCCCTTGACGTACCTGTGCTCTGTGGCATAATACTGCCCTTGACATACCTGTGCTTTGTGGCATAATACTGCCCTTGACATACCTGTGCTCTGTGGCATAATACTGCCCTTGACATACCTGTGCTCTGTGGCATAATACTGCCCTTGACATACCTGTGCTTTGTGGCATAATACTTCCCTTGACATACCTGTGCTTTGTGGCATAATACTGCCCTTGACATACCTGTGCTCTGTGGCATAATACTGCCCTTGACATACCTGTGCTCTGTGGCATAATACTGGCTTTGCTTCGCGATCTCAGCTTCTTGATCCAGCCTCCACCGAACTCAGTCTTCAGGTCAGCTTGGTGAGGGTCCTCCGGGCGTCCCTCCGTTCTCATGTACTCCATTGCCTTGTCTGAACACAGGTTGCCTGAGGGAAAAGGTCAAAGGTCAGAGGTCAAAGGGAAATACAAAGATGAAAACAAGTCAATCAATCTTTAAGTTATTCTTGTCCAAACTAATGCCGATCATAAAGTTACATTAGTAAATTTTAAAGTTCTGTGTAGCGAAATTTATGTTTTCTTGAAGATACTATTAATATTAATGTATATTACAATTTTGCGTATATTTAGCGGTAGGGCTGGTTAGTTTCTTTTTAATTTTTATTGGTAATCACTTATTTGCATTACGAATTCATTTGAGTCTTGAGTAAAGTATTTTTTTTTTTTGCTCACAAACAGGGTGGTTTGGCAGCTGAATTAACGAGCATGTAACCATTGTTTATGAATACGGTCTGCGAACGCTGAACTTACACTTGAACTTGAAGACGGCTACAATATAAACAATGAGCTTAACGAGCAAGTTCAGAGGCGAGGGGGTTCCGGAGGTCCGACTCATGTTCCGGATCAGCTTGGCTAAGCCGAACTTCCACTCGGTGTCGCTCTTAGCCTGGATCCTCTGGTAGGTGTCGGACATCATAGCGATGAGGAGGTTGATGAGCACGACCACCGTCACCATCTGGTAGATCCCGAACACGATCTGTGGGGACACATGAGACATGCTGGATGAGACAAGTGCACTAAAAAAAAAAACTTCTTTCCTGAACAAATCCAAATTCGAGCCAGCAAGGCGGACAGCCCGCCTGCTTTCATACCTCTCACTGTATTTCCCACTTCTATACTTCCCTTCACCTATGCCTCTCCTTCCTCTTTACTCCCCCCCCCAAAAAAAAAAAATCCACAAGGGCCGTGACGAGGGTTCGAACCTACGTCCGAGAACATCTCAGACGCTGCCTTAACTTAACACTGCGAACACTGTGTAACTTCTTTCCTTTTTAAGACCACTCATAGCCCCTGTTGATAGAGCTTCGACCTCTCACACGTGTGGGGTCGACGGTTCGAGACCCATACAGCTCAGGTGAATGGAAGTACACTAAGAGGTCTCTCGAACGGGTTTGTGGAATGTCTAGAAGCGAAGGGAGGGATTGTATTCCCCTATACATCCTCTTCAATGATGCGGCCAACCCCCCTATTCATCAATTTTAACGTCGTATGATCCTTTTTTCTTTTTTTTTTTGCTTATAATCCTGGTTTGGCGGCTGGATTATTAAGCGTTTAGGCATGTTATATAAGGATGGTGTGTGTAAGGTGACGAAATGTATTTACCCCGTGTCTTCACAAGGTGAAAGGTAAATATGTATGTTTTAATTGCTGGGTAAGTCATATATGTACTTGACGTTAATATGAATATGTTCCAAGCCTCGGCTTGAGACATGTTTCACTCAATGCGAACACTTGAACTAAAACACACCTACATCAGCCTAACCACACCATCAAACCATCAAACCACACACACATATATATATACCATATACTTTCTGATAATATTAAGTTTGCTATAATACATTATTGTAATCTATACCGTGCTGTTATATATAATTTGCTCGAATATTTACTTTGCTCTAATACATATTTTTATATATATACTTCAAACGGGATGTGAGGAGTGTAGACAAATGCGAGCACCACCACTACCAACCACCACCACCAGCAACTACCACCACCACCAGCATCTACCACCACCACCAGCATCTACCACAGACCACTACCTCAGTCCTAGCCACCTACAACATCAGTCACTGACCTTCATGAGGGACTGGCTCCAGGAGGGGTGGCTGTAGAAGGGAGGCATGTAGTCTGGCTCAACCAACCCGAAGAGAGAGAAGAACAGCATCTCCCCCGTCTGTAGCGGTGTTTGGATAGGCGCCTCTGGAGGGAGAAGAGAAGAAAGAGGCGAAGGTGAGGTAAGAGGGGGCTGAAGATGAAGATATTTTATTCTCTTTATGGCACAGAAAACTTGTATCAAACAGCTTTACTGCAGGAAATATGAACAACCACTTGGGTTGGATGGTAGAGCGATGGTCTCCTTCATACTGGTCGGCGTTCAATCCCCCGACCGTCCAAGTGGTTGGCTACCATTCCTTCTCCTTCTCCCGTCCCATTCCAAATCCTTATCCTGACCTCTTCCAAGTGCTATATAGTCGTAATGGCTTGGTACTTACTCCTGATAATTTCATTTCCACTCATACGGAGCAGCTTCTATTTATATCCACCCAAACTCATTCATATTTTCACCTTGAATTGTTTGGGTTTCGCAAAATTTCACCTTAAATTGTTTGGGGTTTGCGGATTTTCACCTTAAATTGCTTGGGGTTTGCAAATTTTCACCTTAAATTGTTTAGGGTTTGCAAATTTTCACCTTAAATTGTTTGGGGTTTACAAATTTTCACCTTAAACTGTTTGGGGTTTACAAATTTTCACCTTAAATTGTTTGGGGTTTACAAATTTTCACCTTAAACTGTTTGGGGTTTACAAATTTTCACCTTAAATTGTTTGGGGATTGCAAATTTTCACCTTAAATTGTTTGGGGTTTACAAATTTTCACCTTAAATTGTTTGGGGTTTACAAATTTTCACCTTAAATTGTTTGGGGTTTACAAATTTTCACCTTAAATTGTTTGGGGTTTACAAATTTTCACTGCGCATTGATTGTTCGGCGATAAGTCTTCCAGGAAAGCAAACTTAAGCAAACTTCCTTGTTGAACCCCAGTAAGTGGGTTATTGTTTGTCTTCCTCTACACACCTTTCGTAGCTGGAGTAGGATGACTGGGCGAAGGGTAGAAAGATGAAGGAAGATGAGGCAGAAGGCAAAGAAGAAGATATATAATAAGATGGGACAGAATTAGTAATAAGTGATGTGAGGAAAGAGGAGGCGGGGAAGGAGAAGGAGGGAGAAGAAAGGGCTCCAAGTTCCGGTCTTACATATAGCCTTACATATAGAATGATGGTCTTACCATCATTCTCAGACTCGCTCACAGCCGTTCATTCACACAACAACTTCTTTCAACTTCTTGATGCATGTCTACAGTATTGATATATAACATTACTACTGCCTAGCCTTTGTAAACTCTCTCTCTCTCTCTCTCTCTCTCTCTCTCTCTCTCTCTCTCTCTCTCTCTCTCTCTCTCTCTCTCTCTCTCTCTCTCTCTCTCTCTCTCTCTCTCTCTCTCTCTCTCTCTCTCTCTCTCTCTCTCTCTCTCTCTCTCTCTCTCTCTCTCTCTCTCTCTCTCTCTCTCTCTCTCTCTCTCTCTCTCTCTCTCTCTCTCTCTCTCTCTCTCTCTCTCTCTCTCCTAGGTAGGATCCCCAAGTAGGACTATAATTACCTGCTGGTGGATAGCCCGTGTTCTCACTAGTCATGTTCAGCTCACTATAGATGGGTCTGATGGGGTTGTAGATGGCAGCCACGTACATGGAGAAGCCGAAGACGAAGATGGCGAGAATGACCAAGAACCGGCCCAGGTCCACCATCAGCTTACCGATGATGACGGCCCAGGGACCGAAGAGGTGATGGAACGAGAGGAAGTCCAAGAGTTGCACGGACGCCAGAAGAGTCGCAATGGCCAGAAAGTTGTTCCTGGCGCAGGAGAGGCACGATAGGCTATGATGCGTTGTTTATTTGGTCTAAAGGCCTTCAGAAAGGTTATTAAAGGCCACCACAATAGCATACTGACCAACCAGCCAGTATTCTTTAGCTCTTAACATAGTCCAGAAGTATAATAAACCCCCTCAATGTATATACACCGAGAAATGGTAGTTATACCCCGTGAGTATACCCATTGAACGATACTCGGGGTTTATGAGAGGTAGTGTTGCCTGTAACCTTACCTGTAACACTGATAGGCAGTGTTACAGACAAGGTTTGGGGACAGGTGCATTAAAAACATTTTTGGGAGGTGAAAGTGACTTGTGAAAGGAAATTATTACGGTATTTTTTTGGATTAAAGGGGAGAATAAAAGGGAGATTGGGGCATTTTAGGGTGGATGGTAGCGTGAATGTATTACCTTTTTAAGAAACGTTATTGAGTAGGTCCTGTAGAACCTTTGACCGGACACAGGGAAGTTGAGAGATAACGTACAGGTTACAGAGAGGCTACAGGAAAGCTACCGGATTGTATATAGGCTATCATTAAGAAGCTCAATGTAGATGCATGTTGAGCAGGTTACAGAGGGGGGTTACAGGCACGTTATGGACAGATTGTGGGTAACTCAGAGCGATTGTATGCATAGAATAGCGATGGATTGAGGATGAGAAGGTGAGAGCCGTTGAAGGATGTTAGGGCTGATTGAGAGAGATAGAAGGGGAGGCTCTTGGATCGGAGAGAGCTGTGAGAGTAGTTGAGGATAGTTGATGAACGAGAGGGCTATTTGATGAGAGGGTTGATGGGAAGAAGAGAGCTATATTAGAAAGGAAGGACTGTCGGAAGGGATTATCAACGAAACACAGATGGGAATAATCCTCTTAATAAGTATACACACTTATCAGAATGATCAACTTCATCAATGTGCATTACACATAATAAAGTCAAATGACAGACAGTGGGAGGGAAAGTGAACTAGAATTGAGTTTCTCATTTACGAAGTGAATCTCTCCTGAGTTGAAAATTATCATGTTATAAGAATATTTATTATATTATGTGAAAATATAACATATTACAGTATGTTGATTGTTATACTTCATGAGATAGAACTCTTACGATGATAATTATATATTTTCTGGAATGAATTATCACTTGTCTACTCGTAGCAATATACGTCTCTAAATAATCAATATCCGCTCATCCTTCAAAGAACTGTATTCCCTCTCAAGAATTGCATAATTTATTGCAAGATGTATACATTTTTTGTATGATACAGTAACATTACTCCTTGCAGAGGTGTGTGGTTCCAAATTACATATATAGTTTTTTTTATATGAATCATATATACCTTCCAATCTGTAATACCCATCAACCCTATATCTACTTAAAATAATTCTCTATCCACAACTCCCGACAGTCCTACACTGCAGGCTACGAGACACAATAACGTGGCTGAAGTAGGTTGACCAGACCACACACTAGAAGGTGAAGGGACGACGACGTTTCGGTCCGTCCTGGACCATTCTCAAGTTGATCAAGTCCAATCACAATCGAATTGACAACGGTCCAGGACGGACCGAAACGTCGTCGTCCCTTCACTTTCTAGTGTGTGGTCTGGTCAACAGCCCTACACTCACACACTCCTCACTGCGGAGGTAAACATAGACCCCCAGGGAACGGTCCCCCCCCCCCCCCCCGAGGGACACACACACACACACACACACACACACACACACACACACACACACACACACACACACACAGGGAATTGACAGGGTTGATAAAGACAGGCTGTTTAACACAAGGGGAACACGCACTAGGGGACACAGGTGGAAACTGAGTGCCCAAATGAGCCACAGAGATATTAGAAAGAACTTTTTTAGTGTCAGAGTGGTTGACAAATGGAATGCATTTGGAAGTGATGTGGTGGAGGCTGACTCCATACACAGTTTCAAGTGTAGATATGATAGAGCCCAATAGGCTCAGGAACCTGTACACCTGTTGATTGACAGTTGAGAGGCGGGACCAAAGAGCCAGAGCTCAACCCCCGCAAGCACAACTAGGTGAGTAGGTGAGTACACACACACACACACACACACACACACACACACACACACACACACACACACACACACACACACACACACACACACACAATTTTCTTCAATGAGTCACTTATGTCGGGAGAATTGCCCAGTTGCTGGAAGGAGGCAAATGTCGTACCGATTTTCAAAAAGGGGGATAGGGAGGAGGCACTTAACTACAGACCCGTATCACTGACAAGCATCCCCTGCAAAATACTTGAAAGAATAATTAGGCTAAGACTTGTTGAGCACCTGGAGAGCATTGGGTTTGTAAACAAGCACCAACATGGGTTCTGGACAGGGAAATCATGCCTAACAAACCTTTTAGAATTCTATGATAAAGTAACAAGGATAAGGCAGGACAGAGAAGGATGGGCAGACTGCATATTTCTTGACTGCCAAAAGGCCTTTGATACGGTACCGCACATGAGACTGCTATACAAACTTGAGAGGCAGGCAGGAGTAAGCGGAAAGGCCCTAGTATGGGTGAAGAACTACCTAACAGGAAGGAGCCAGAGGGTAATGGTAAGGGGCGAAAAGTCGGACTGGCGAACAGTAACAAGTGGAGTACCTCAAGGATCGGTGCTGGGACCAATCCTCTTTCTAATTTACGTAAATGATATGTTTACAGGAGTGGAATCATACATGTCGATGTTTGCAGATGACGCAAAATTAATGAGAAGAGTTGTGACAGACGAGGATTGTAGGATCCTCCAAGAGGACTTAAACAGGCTGCAGAGATGGTCAGAGAAATGGCTACTGGAGTTTAACACCAGTAAATGTAAAGTTATGGAAATGGGATCAGGTGACAGGAGACCAAAGGGACAGTACACAATGAAGGGGAACAGCCTACCTGTAACGATTCGAGAAAGAGACCTGGGAGTGGATGTGACACCTAATCTAACTCCTGAGGCACATATAAATAGGATAACGACAGCAGCGTACTCTACACTGGCGAAAATTAGAACTTCATTCAGAAACCTAAATGAGGAAGCTTTTAGGGCGCTTTACACTGCCTACGTGAGACCCGTCTTAGAGTATGCCGCGCCATCATGGAGCCCCCACCTGAAGAAACACATAAAGAAACTGGAGAAGGTTCAGAGGTTTGCGACGAGGCTTGTCCCAGAGCTACGAGGGATGGGATATGAAGAGCGGCTGAAGGAACTGAACCTTACGACACTAGAGAAAAGAAGGGAGAGAGGAGATATGATAGGGACATATAAAATACTCAGGGGAATTGACAAAGTGGAAATAGATCAAATGTTCACACGTAATAATAACAGAACGAGGGGACATGGGTGGAAACTGGAAACTCAGATGAGTCACAGAGATGTTAGGAAGTTTTCTTTTAGCGTGAGAGTAGTAGAAAAATGGAATGCACTTGGGGAACAGGTTGTGGAAGCAAATACTATTCATACTTTTAAAACTAGGTATGATAGGGAAATGGGACAGGAGTCATTGCTGTAAACAACCGATAGCTAGAAAGGCGGGATCCAAGAGTCAATGCTCGATCCTGCAAGCACATATAGGTGAGTACATATAGGTGAGTACACACACAACTCACCTGATGTACAGCATCTCTGGGATGAGTTCGGTGTCCCCCAGATAGAAGAACCCTACCAGGTGCACCAGGATGCCCAAGCCGCTGAACACCAGCACGAAGACCTTAATCCAGCCCAGGCCAGCGATGTCCCCTGGGTTAGTGAGCTCCATCACCAGGTTGCCGCTCAGCCACAGCAGGAGCAGCCATTCGTACCTGAAGGAGGCCCAGTGGTAGAGAGGATACAAACATCGAAGCTGGTTCACTCTGTTGCTTTAATATATCTAAATGCTACTTTGTATTGCTATAAGATATTTTGTATTGCTACTTTGTATTGCTACTTTATTGCTATAAGATATCTAATTGCAACATTCAGTTGCAGGTAGAGCAGTACGTGTTATCATTACAAGGATCAGAAATAGTATAAGTCAATGAAATCGAAAACAAATTAGAGCTTAATAATACACAATCAAGTACTTAGCCCTTGACGGGAAATATAAATAAAACTCATGCATTTGCATGAGAGTTGGGGAAACAGAAATTAGATTTTGTGATGAAAAATATACAATAACTAGAACGTCTACTCGGGTATATTTGCAAAGCATTAATTATGCAAATTATATCCAAACTCTAATGGAATCAACACTAATACTAATTTATTAAAACTGCATTATAATTTTGCACGTCTGGTTTTGGGGATAACAGTCAAATAACATCTGGCTACAAGCTGGCTGGCTCTGCAAATTCAGCAACAGGAGAGCAATGGACCCACCACAGCAGTGCAACATCAACACCATAACAGCAGCAACAGGAGAGCAATGGACCCACCACAGCAGTGCAACATCAACACCATAACAGCAGCAACAGGAGAGCAATGGACCCACCACAGCAGTGCAACATCAACACCATAACAGCAGCAACAGGAGAGCAATGGACCCACCACAGCAGTGCAACATCAACACCATAACAGCAGCAACAGGAGAGCTGTCGGAAAATCCGACACCATTTAATAATATACAGACAGATAATAAGTGCTGCTGTATTACCAACAAGTTACCCATAGAAAACGTAACTTGTAGTGGAATTACCGTCTAAAGAAAACGGGATATCATCACCACATACTATTATAATTCACCAGCTATTATGGTGGGAATTATTCTTAAATACATTAGTCTTTGGACTTTACCATCATAAAAACATCTTATATAAATTAACTTAATTATCAATATTAAAGTAGAGTAAATGTGACCCTTCTATCACTTTCTGAAATCTGGACAAAGTAGGCCAGGCGTCAGAAGGAGGAAGGGGAGCCATTGTTGTGTCACCTCCGAGACGTGTGGAGCGAGTTCGGCTCCTATCATTCTGGACAATGTCGGCCAGTGACGTCAATAGAATGGAGTGTTAGATGCAGCCATTTATATTGAGACCAGAGGCTCACACGGGAGCAAATTCAGCTCCTGTTAATTTTACTTGGACGTAGTGTTATGGAAACCAAAGGTACCATCTCCAACACGATGTCTACAATCAAGTTAAGTGTCTATCCGAAACCCGTTTATCATTCATTTATGGCCATTAATGTCAGGATATAGGGTGACCCGGTTAGATCGCGAAATCGCCTCAAACTAAAGGTAATTAAGCCAGGTCTTCATGTTCCATGTACCATGTACAGTTTTCTCTGATATAACTTGTCATATATAGGATTCTGGCTTCACAGCTAGCGCACTTTTGACAGGTCAAGACGAGGATGCAAGATTTTGTGCACCAGTTACTGGGTGATATGGAAGCTACCTCAAAGAGGATAATTTGGTGTCTACACCCTAGTTATACCTGGTGGACTAACCTGCTGTACTATAAGATAAGGAACCTCTTCAATGTATGTAGTTACTGTAGTTTGATTGGCTGCATACATATAAATATAAACCCCCCTAATGTGTAGAGGATCGATTTGTGAGATTATGAGATTATTGCAGAAATACAGTCCACTTATCATTATACAAATTGCTATCGAAGTATATAAATTAACGTAAATATAAATTCATATAAATTAAATAAATATAAATCTCACAGGTCGGTTCCCACATTATTTGGTCATCTTCGAACCGGATGACGGATTATTTGATCCTTGTGAACCCACATTTGGTCATCTTAGTACCGGATGAACCAGTTATCCAGTGGATTCATTAAATATACTAGTGCAGTGTTATTTAAACAAAGGCCAGCCAGTCAAAGACGGCAGCGTAGCCTCGAGGGAGCTCAGGAGCCTCCCTCAGCCCAGTTAAGCCTTCGTCAGCGGTTTCATGCACACCCACAGATATTTGGTGGCGTGTTATTTCGTGAAATGACAGCGCTAATATAGAATCCAGCCAAATTAGTGACTGTGTCTTCGCGAGATTGTTCACGGATTTCGTGGTGTTACATTTCGCGAGAGATTATCTACGAATTTTGTGGACTTTATTTCGCGAGGTCACTAATAACATTTAATACTTCTAGATAATAATAGAAGTTTCATAGAGGCTAATTAAGAGGCTATTATCAATAATTGTGTATATTATTTCTCCAAAATAGAGAATTATTTAATATATATTGCACTAGTGATCACAGTATAATATTTACTAATTGCCAACCCACAACAGGGTAGGATATTAACCATTGACTAGTTGAACTATTATCGTTCATCCTAGTCCCATTATTACCATAGTCAGTTGTACTATATTGATTAACCTAGCACCATTAATGAATGGTCCAGACCCTATTTTGGGTGTAATTTTTATCAACTCGAGTTGAGTTGTATATATAATAATTTACTTATGATCATTACACCTTTGAGTGATTAATTAGTGTCTCTACCATCCTGGGGTGATATAGAAGAGCTAACCTAAAGGTACTTCCAGTGACACTGGTTTATCACTCAAATCATTAGTGTGGATGATTGTATATATATAATGTGTATTAATTTTAAGTGCTAACCTCTAGTAGAGGTAGGATTATTGCCTAGTGAGTTCAGAATTTACCCTAGGCTACCATTAGTGTTTGTTCAGTATTATGAGCAGCCCAAGTACAAGCCCCACAAGGCTTCACCAACGAGCCAGTATGGATAATGCAGGGAGAATGAAAAGAACCCTTGCAGGTCTTAAAGGCCACTTAACAAGACAGATCAAGAAATGTGAAGATTTGTCACAACAATCTCAAGTTGATTATGCTGACCTGGAAAGCTATTATCAAGCAGCTGCAGGTAAATTTGAGCAAATCAAATGCCAAATAGCTGTCCTTGTGGGGACAGACTACTACCATCAATTCATCGGTAGCCCTACTAAATATCAGGGCATAACCATGTTAAAGTCTGCAGGAGGTAAATTACTCTCAGGCCCAGTATCAAGCCTGAGGAGACCTATGCCTGCAGATAAACAATACCAGTAGAGATCTAAATTTGTCCGCTGATTATATTTCTCCAGTAGCATTATACTAAGGAGATTACAGCTGACTATAGTAACAGAGGTTGATGTTAGTATCATCATTTAAAGCTGAAGATGAGTTCATGAGGCCTCAGTGGCAAATCAGTGAACAGTAGCCTAAAACAGCTACAAGTCACTGCGACCAATGTCACTGAACCCACTGCAGTCTCAGAACCATACTTTACTTTAATGATGAGCTATTCAATCTTCTGAATCAATTAACTAAATTAAACCCTAATAAATCTGATGACTGATTTGATACATTTATTATTTAATCAAGATGTATTCCATGGGCCTCAGTGTTTATATATCAGTGACCAGTTACCTGAAGAAACTTCAAGTTATATCTAATGTCACTGATCTCACTGCAGTCCCTGAATCATACTTGACTGTAGTACTTGATCACATTCAGTCTTCTGGGTTAAATAATATGTAATAAGGCTTGAATATTAGCCTTTCAAGAGTTGACAGGGAAATGAAATCGCATTAGACTTCTAACCCTTGCAACTCTAGTACGGGACATCCGTCCTGTACGAACAGACACACAAATGTGTGATTACTAACTACTAACATCAAATTAATCTAATAATTCGAAGGAGGAGTATCGGTGTTCGTCTGTTCTAATTAGGACTTCGACCCGTGAGCAGCCCCTGGGGAATTATGTCGGAAAATCCGACACCATTTAATAATATACAGACAGATAATAAGTGCTGCTGTATTACCAACAAGTTACCCATAGAAAACGTAACTTGTAGTGGAATTACCGTCTAAAGAAAACGGGATATCATCACCACATACTATTATAATTCACCAGCTATTATGGTGGGAATTATTCTTAAATACATTAGTCTTTGGACTTTACCATCATAAAAACATCTTATATAAATTAACTTAATTATCAATATTAAAGTAGAGTAAATGTGACCCTTCTATCACTTTCTGAAATCTGGACAAAGTAGGCCAGGCGTCAGAAGGAGGAAGGGGAGCCATTGTTGTGTCACCTCCGAGACGTGTGGAGCGAGTTCGGCTCCTATCATTCTGGACAATGTCGGCCAGTGACGTCAATAGAATGGAGTGTTAGATGCAGCCATTTATATTGAGACCAGAGGCTCACACGGGAGCAAATTCAGCTCCTGTTAATTTTACTTGGACGTAGTGTTATGGAAACCAAAGGTACCATCTCCAACACGATGTCTACAATCAAGTTAAGTGTCTATCCGAAACCCGTTTATCATTCATTTATGGCCATTAATGTCAGGATATAGGGTGACCCGGTTAGATCGCGAAATCGCCTCAAACTAAAGGTCAAGACGAGGATGCAAGATTTTGTGCACCAGTTACTGGGTGATATGGAAGCTACCTCAAAGAGGATAATTTGGTGTCTACACTCTAGTTATACCTGGTGGACTAGCCTGCTGTACTATAAGAGAAGGAACCTCATCAATGTATGTAGCTATTACTGTAATTTGATTGGCTGCATATGTGTAATATAAACCCCCCCTAATGTGTAGAGGATCGATTTGTGAGATTAAGAGATTATTGCAGAAATACAGTCCACTTATCATTATACAAATTGCTATCGAAGTATATAAATTAACGTAAATATAAATTCATATAAATTAAATAAATATAAATCTCACAGGTCGGTTCCCACAAGAGCAATGGACCCACCACAGCAGTGCAACATCAACACCATAACAGCAGCAACAGGAGAGCAATGGACCCACCACAGCAGTGCAACATCAATCATAACAGCAGCAACAGGAGAGCAATGTACCCACCACAACAGTGCAACATCAACCATAACAGCAGCAACAGGAGAGCAATGGACCCACCACAGCAGTGCAACATCAACACCATAACAGCAGCAACAGGAGAGCAAGTACCCACCACAACACATATATAAACACCAACAGTGACGTAGAACAGTAGCAGCAGCATTATTAATTATTAGGCAAATACATCAACAGCAAAAGGGAGTGAAAACACATAGTAACAAAGAAGCAACAGGAGCAGAAGCAGCAGCAGCAGACACAATATCACTAGTAACACCAGCACCACCAGCAGACCCATTACCAGCAGACAAAACATCACCAGCAGGGAGAGAACAGCACCGTCTACAAGCAAGTTTAAGAGAAGAAATGTCAGTATTGTTAAGAAATGCCCGACAGACCACTGGAACATTATCCAACACAGTACAGAGTTACAACCCAAACAGACCACTGGACCATTAACTGCATTAACACTGCATAGTTACAAACCAAATAAAATTTCAACTAAGATTCAACACCAATTTAAAACCGTGATTAACAACACATATAACAATGTGTTGTTAAACACATTGAACATAACTTTACCGAAGCGAGTCATAAACACTCATCGAACCACTTAAGACAGAAATGAGTAAGACTTAGAAGGGCTCGCGCAGAAACATTCCTGAAAAACAGAGAGTGGGAGGAAGAGGGATGTCTGAGCACGCCAGATGTCTCACCAGTTGGGTATGAGGTTGGTGTTCTCCCAGATTGGGCTGAGAGGCGTGACCACAGAGATGATCATTAGCATCAGTAAGTAGAGATGCGACACAAGGTAGGCGATGAACTTCACTATGGGCACCTCGTTGTACATGTGTCCCAGCGGCATACTTGAAAAAGAAAAGTCAAACAATTTATAAAAACATATTTAGACACGCTCACACACACACACACACACACACACACACACACACACACACACACACACACACACACACACACACACACACACACACACACACACACACACACACACACACACACACACACACACACACACACACACACACGCACAGACGATACATATAAAAATGACTTACATTATTAAACACCCTTCGAGAGGTAGATTTTTTTTTTGTAGATGAGTAGATGAGACAGTGACACAAGAATTAAGGAGTTTTTAGAAGCCGCAATATAAATATTCGCTACTCTAATAGCTATTCTACTCTAGATATTCTACTCTACTCTATCCTACTCTACTCTAGAGAATATCTACTCTAGATATTCGCTAATATTTAGGTCACTTCGAGTATTTATTCTTTCGTGGGGTAAGTACACAGGAATGTATTTATAGAGAATGTTTTCTTCGGTGTATTTACACCGAGAGATAGTATACTTTAGTCCTGTATAATGTTCAGGACTAAGGTATACTTGCTGATTGGTCAGTTAGCTAGCTGTTATTGTTATTTTAGATTCCCTTCGAAGTTAATTGGCCTTAATAACCCTCTTAAAGATTGATAGGTCTTAATAATTCCCTCCAGGTATATAGGCCTTGATAAGCCTTCCGGGGTTGATAGGCCTTAATAACCCCCTCTTTCAGTTGATTGGCCTTAAGCCCAATACTCAGCCAACAAATTCAGTTCTGAGTCAAAGGCTTCTCTGAAAATCCTTAGAATTTGCCCTTGAGAGAATCTTTGTGAAAGGAGTCGGGCAAAGTGAGACACGTCTTGGTCTTTATTGTGTCTTATCAATATGAAGAAAATTGTGTCGTATCTATATTAAGAAAATTAATGTCTTATCTATATGAAGAAAATTGTGTCTTTTCTATATGGATTTGTCTTTTCTATATGAAGAAAAGTATGTATAGCATAATATGTATAGCACCGTTGAACATAATCTGTAGAACATTGCGTAACATAAGCTGCAGAACAGAATAGAGTAACAATTTACAGAACACTATGAAACATATTTACAAGATCATTTCGTAACATAATTTGAAGAACTTTGTGTAACACTTAAGAACTCTGGATAATAAAATATGTAGAACACCGTATAACAAATATCTAGAACACTATATAACAAAATCGGTAGAACACAGCGAAACATAATTTGAAAAAGTTCTGAAACGCTGAAAACTGAAAAATTAAATTGAACGTTAAAAGAGAAAGAAAACGAATAACAACACAAATAGAAAACGGAATGATTAGACCAGACACTAAAAAAAAAGACGAAGATGAACACGCTAAGAACAGTCTCCTACCTGAAGAAGATCCAGACTGGAGGCAAGAACAGGAAGGCGAAGAACATCATGACCATCTTCCAGGCAGGCCAATCAAGGCTTCCCATCCACACATCATACAGGTACCTCTGTACCGCTGGATGGGCGATCACCTGTGGGAGAGACGGTAATGTTGACAGGTACGACAGACAGATATCCTCCTGTCCAATGGTGAGGTGTCATCAATTGCTTGTGTTTACAAAACGGGGAGAAATCCTTTCAGGTGAATGTGGTAATTACTTGACCAGACCACGTACTAGAAGTGAAGGGACGACGACGTTTCGGTCCGTCCTGGACCATTCTCAAGTCGATTGTCGATTATGACATCACAATCGACTTGAGAATGGTCCAGGACGGACCGAAACGTCGTCGTCCCTTCACTCTCTAGTGTGTGGTCTGGTCAACATACTTCAGCCACGTTATTGTGACTCATCGCCTGCATGTGGTAATTACTTCATTCACATGCAGTAATTATCAAGAAATGTTTCGGTACTGTATATTCGAACTCTGTATTTCCACAAAGATAAGTTAATATTATAATATTTTAGAATTTGACGTATAGTTAGACCTGAGTTGACTTACGTTAGTTGTTTAGGTATTTGCAGTACGTGGGCTAAGGATTTAGAAATTTGTGATTCGAACACAGAGTTCGAAGCACTGTTCAAAAAAAAGTTCGAACATAATCATCAATGAGTCATTTGTACTGTTTTCCTTGGATTATTTGGATTAAAATAAAATTAAGAATTTCCTCAGAAAAAACATAATTATCAGAAAACCTAGATATCAATACATGTACAAGAATTTATACAGACATATATAAATGTAAAAAATTAATACAAATATCTTTTGCCAGTTATAAAAATATAAACGCTCACACAACACTACCGACCTCGTTACAGCAGACGCGTTAGTATGTAAACATTGGAGTCGAGGTTTCAGAGTTGCTCGACTCGCGTCTCATGCTGGCAATATGACTTGATTCTAAGGCGTCGAGGTTCAGGCAGAGAGAAGCAGAAATCATAACAGTGAAATGGTTGTAAGTGAAAGTGTCGTCTCGTGACCAGTCGTGCTCGCCGGACACTGAGGAATTATATCGACAATTCTCTACGGTAAGAGACACAACTTTAAGTTAACAGTCGTCGTGTTCAGGGTATCGTAAGGCGTCCTCCAACGCCTCGGGCAGTGTAGCTTTATTACTTAAAAAATTAACTTAAAGCTTAAAAAAACACATTTTTTTAAGTTCCAATATTTTTATGACGTGAACATATAATAACACCATAACTGTGGGTAACTTTGTCACGGTATGCTAAGAAGATCTTCACGAATATGATGGCTTGCGGTACCGAAATAAGGAAACTTTATATCATGAATCTCTCAGAACTGTATAAAACTTACCATAAGGTAAATATTCTTTTCGGAATTCTTTAAAATCCAATAAAACAAATTTGCGTCATTGTATATCACAAAGTCCTGGACCCACGATACAAATACACGATTAAAATAATATTTTTGTATTTAAGTAAATTCAGTATAATATATATAATATATATATATATATATATATATATATATATATATATATATATATATATATATATATATATATATATATATATATATATATATATATATATATATATATATATATATATATATATATATATATATATATATATATATATATATATATAATATATTATTTATTCGGTATAAGTGACCTTATATTTATGGTACAAAAGAAATTATAATTTGTAATATCTAAATGCTCCCACACTCAGGAATCGTAGTTTAAAGGGCCCCGAGTTCGATTCCCGGTCGAGGCAGCAACAAATGAGCAGTTCTTTTCATTTGATGCCCCTGTTTACCAAGCAGTAAATAGGTACCCGGAAGTTAGACAGCTGCTACGAGCTGTCTATATATATGTGAGTTTGAGAGAAATATATGTTGTAAATAAGATAGAGAAAATTAGGAGGGGAAGCGGTACATTAGACAACCGCGACAGTTAGGAAGGCGGGGTCCAAGAGCTAACAGCTCAATCCCACAGACACAAATAGTAAACACACACACACACATACCTCTTTCTGCTCGTGCTCGATAAGGGAGTCTAGAAGGACGACATTCCTGTTGTCGACGGCCCTAAGGAGCAGCCCTGGGGAGGAGCTGGCGGCGGAGATAGCCACCAGCTCCGTGGCCAGAGCCTCGCTGAACAGCGACGCCTCCAGCAGGTCTCTGCTGCTCTCCTTCTCCTGTAGGGCCACGTCGCGGCAGAAGGGGGAGGAAACAATAGACACAAGTTATGATTTTGGTAATGTTTGTGTGAGGGTGGTGAGAGGAAATTAAATGGGAGAGAGATATTAAGAAGAGAAGGAACAAGAGATGGAGCAGGAAAGGGAGGGGAGTATTGTGTATAAAGGACATTCACAAGAATATATTGCATCCAAGGTAAAATATATATATATATATATATATATATATATATATATATATATATATATATATATATATATATATATATATATATATATGTCTGTCTCAAACTCGAGGATTAGAGGAACTAAATGAAGTTTGTATTTGTAGGACGGAAGTATATAACATTAATCATGGTATTACAGGAGCAAAAATCTATCTGTAACTGTCTTCCAATCCTCAGAATTTGTTAGTGATTATAATTCAAGCACTGCATAATAACCAATTTTTAATTAAAACTATGTAGTCAATTCAGGGATGAAAGGCAGGACCCAAAATCTGTGAATCAACCTCTTCAAATACAACTCAGAAATCACAGAAAATTAGAAGTTTACCAATTAATTTGAAGGGGCAATTAACAAACAAATTAGAGAGAATCATACTTATCCAAACCACTTTAGTATACCTTGCAGCGAGAGTTATTAAACAATTTGCTTCACATACTTGTCAAAGCGAATAAGTGGCCAATATATTGCAGAAGTTATGTCAAAGCACAACATGAAGTATTACACGTAGCGGTCAATAACCCCAGGAATTGTTAGTGGACAGTTCCAGGAGAACCCATTAAAGAGCAGCATTAGGAATGAACGATGAAGACAGTATTGCCCTTGTTAATAGCTATCAAAGCTGCAGATAAGAGAAAGAAAGAGAGATTGAAAGAGAAAGAGAGAGAAGAGGGTGAATCGAAGACACGAGAAGATAAGAGTGTTAGTGGATAGTTTCAGGAGAACCCATTAAAGAGCAGCATTAGGAATGAACGATGAAGACAGTATTGCCCTTGTTAATAGCTATGAAAGCTGCAGATAAGAGACAGAAAGAGAGATAGAGAGAGAAAGAGAGATAAGAGGATGAGTCAAAGACGCGGGAAGATAAGATAGTGAGATCCTTATGAGATAAAACAAGTGTTAATTCATTAGTAACACGTCGGAAGACCAGCCATAGTTAACGAGGCAGGCGAGGCTTGCTATGAGTGCCGGGAGAGCCACACCAGACACCGAGGGTTAAGTCACGCTACAGGAGCCAGAGTGCTTCACTACTCTCGCCTTCTGAACTTACGGGGGTCGAGGTCAGGTCATGGTGGAGGGGGCACAGGAGGCGACGAAGGAAGTGCAGCCGCAGAGGGTCACGGTAGACACAATCACAGATTAATGCATGTTTAGCTGGAGCTACCTGGGGACCACTATCTCTAGTGTTCTCGACACGGACAGGAAGCCAACGGCTTGTCACACGTTCCCCCCCCCCTCCCATCTCCTTTATTGTTTCTGAGAAATTTTCCCAGTTTCCGTCCTGTTCCTTATGGTATTTAATTACTAATCTGTAAATTGAATTATCATACACCTCTCTCTCTCGCCTTAACTAATTGTTCTTGCTCATTAGTAGACATACATCAGTCTCAAGTTCATTAACTTTACGCTAAAGCATGGCTTCCTGACCATCCTGTAGCCTACATGGGACTCAATACTTATATGGTTATCGTTACATACAAACCCCAAAGTGGCGGATGAGGTCACTGGACAAATAGTTATCATAGAAAATCCTGTACACAGCCTACAGCTGTGTACAGGATATTAACACACACACACACACACACACACACACACACACACACACACACACACACACACACACACACACACACACACACACACACACACACACACACACATACACACCCGTGACCTAACACTATTTTATCGTGCAAAAATGATTTACTTATTGTTTAATTTTTTCCATAATGGGATTTGAGTTCCCGTTGTGTGAGTAGAGCTCTGCATTATTTTTTGATGACTTTCATTGAACACATATATGAACTTTTAAGTATCATTCTCTCTCTCTCTCTCTCTCTCTCTCTCCTTTCCTTTCTTCACCGCTCACACTTTTCCTCTTCCCATCTTTCTCCACTACTCGTTGTCTCTTTAATCACTTAAAACTGAGTTTTAACGACCCAACTATGTCAAGGATGAGCTCTCAAGCCTAGACTATGGAGAACAGAGGAAAATAGTTATATTCTGGTTGACATTTATACCATTTGTGGTTGAAAATAATCACTCCTTTTGCCTCGGACACGCCCCGAGCCTCAGGTACACACACACCCACACCCCGTTCCCTAGCCTCACCCACGCCCCCCAGTGTCAGTCACGCCCCCCTAGCCTCAGTCACGCCCCCCTAGCCTCAGTCACGCCCCCTAGCCTCAGCCACGCCCCCCAGTGTCAGTCACGCCCCCCTAGCCTCAGGCACGCCCCCCTAGCCTCAGGCACGCCCCCCTAGCCTCAGTCACGCCCCCCTAGCCTCAGTCACGCCCCCTAGCCTCAGCCACGCCCCCCAGTCTCAGTCACGCCCCCCTAGCCTCAGGCACGCCCCCCTAGCCTCAGTCACGCCCCCCTAGCCTCAGTCACGCCCCCCTAGCCTCAGTCACGCCCCCCTAGCCTCAGTCACGCCCCGTGTACCCACCTTGTCTGAGAGTATGAGAAGCGTGTGGGCTAGCTTGGTGGCCAGGTCGACCGGTGCAGGAGAGAGGAGGATGAACTCCTCCAGAGGTGAGTGTCCGTGCTTCTTACTCATCAGCGTCAGGTCGTGCACGTACTGCAACAACAAATTCCTATATTGGCCGTAAATACACCGAAATGTCGTGCAATATATTACAAGAAAATGACACGATTTAATAAAAAAAAAATGTAGTTCAACACGATTTAATGCAAGATAATGTAGTTCAACACGATTAATTATAAGGAAATGCATTGCAATGCGATATGATAAGCCATAATGTATTGTAATAAAATGCATGAAAATGCAGTGTAACGCAGTCTACTATTTTCCTGCTAGTTCTGTATTTATTATTGACATGCCCTTTGATTTCTCTCCTGCTATTCTAGTCCTCTTCCTCAATTACTTCTTCCCTCCTTCCCTTTTCTACCTGTCTTTTTCCCCCCTTTTCTTTCTCCCTCTACACGGCGTTCAATCCCTGACCGTCCAAGTGGTTGAGCACCATTCCTTCTCCCCGTCCCATCTCAAATCCTTATTCTGACCCCTTCACAGTGCTATATAGTCGTAATTACTTGGCGCTTTCTCTTGATAATTCACTTCACTTCTTCCTCTACATTCCATCCTCACCTTCTTATCCTCCAGGAGCTTGTACGAGTCGTGTTTCTTGTTGATGAGGTAGTTGTAGACGTCGACGTGCTCGCTGGCCACGGCGAAGGTGATGGGCGTCTTACCCTCCGTGGACTTGTCCTCCGGCGACGCCCCTGCCTCCACCAGGAGCTTCACCACCTCCAGTTGTCCCGCCCTGGCACTGTAGTGGAGAGGCGTGAGGCCATCCTGGGGGAGTGGCAGAGGGAATTATCAGGGGGGATAAATCACCTACAACTGACTGTTAACGACCCAACTATGGCAAGGATGAGTTTTCAAGCCCAGATGAAGACGATGAGTCACAATAACGTGGCTGAAATATGTTGACCAGACCACACACTAGAAAGTGAAGGGACGACGACGTTTCGGTTCGTCCTGGACCATTCTCAAGTCGACAAACGACTTAAGAATGGTCCAGGACCGAAACGTGGTCGTCCTTTCACTTTCAAGCCCAGAGCTCATCCTGGGCGTGTGAGAGGCGTGTGAGTGGTTCACGGGGCAGTTTGCGTCGTTGAGCGCAAACACGTCAACTGAGGTGTGTGTTTGTCTCCTGCTTCCGACCGTCAGAGGAAAAGTTGAATGACTCTGTCGTTTCTGAATATTTATAGAAGCTAACAATTACATATTCTTATGAATCAGTGGAAGATACCTGACGTAAATCCTAATGGTGAATGTTAAAAATTCCCTGAAAGACATCTTTAGTCCTATATGAAAGTAAAAGATTTCCTGATTGAGGGAACGTATAATCAAAGATATTCAGACTTGGTGCAGGGAATGAGGAAGTTATATGCAAATTAGATCAATTGAATAACTTGGAAAATAAAGCAATAAAAACAGATACAGATCCTCAGCAAAAAAATAAAACAAGGATTCCCTCTTAATACCTCAAGATTCAAAAGTTTTACGAACAGAATAACACAGTTCTCCTCAGGGAGAATCCAATGCCTTAAAGTCCAATATTTTCTCTAAAAAGAAAAAAAATCTCGATACAATACCCACATCTGTACTTATACTCTCCTGACCTAGGTAAAAACCTAACTATCCTGGTAATACCACAGTTATGTACGACCATCCAGGCCACGACCATCCTCTAATGGCCATTACGAGAGTACTTACTCTATCCTTGGCCCCTAATTCGGCCCCCTGGCCCATGAGGAGGGCCACCAGGTGATAGTGACCATGCATAGCCGCTAGATGGAGCCCCGTCCGGCCACGCTTGTCCATCTTGGCCACCTAGTGGTCGTGCAGAGAAATGAAATGACAAGTTATCAGGCAATTTATCATAGAGATACATTTTTGACGGGCATAATACAGCAATAACACTAGAGCATTATATAGTATTATAATTTTAAATATACATATAAAATACATACTCTATGTATTTTATATGTATATTTATATGTATATGTCCAATGGTTAATGCATAATGCAAAAATATGTTTTTGATACATATTGTATCAAAAACATATACGCTGTTGCAATATGCAGCGGAGACATGAATTAATAGATTTATGTATTAGTTAACACATACTGTCATATCTTACAGTAAAGTCATATTAACATTTAACATGTAAAAGCATCCCATGTCAACAATCACTATAATAAATATGGCTTACATTGCCTGAGAAGACATTATTTATAAACAAACTGCATTAATATTATATTCAAATTATTCCAATCTTCTAATGTCTAATAATGACAAGAGAAAGTCATACAGTGTTAGGGAGAGAGATCTGCAGCACGGGAGTGGCAGAGAGAGAGAGTGAGAGAGAGAGAGAGAGAGAGAGAGAGAGAGAGAGAGAGAGAGAGAGAGAGAGAGAGAGAGAGAGAGAGAGAGAGAGAGAGAGACAGAGAGAGAGAACACCCCACAATAACTCACCTGCTTCGTGGACTTGGAGAGAAGGAGCCCCACAACGGATGTGTGGCCTCCGATGCAGGCCAGATGGAGAGGGATGTAGCCCTGTGGGAGGAAGATGAGAGTCAGAGATGATCAAGTGCCCCCCTCTTGAGGAGGAAGCAATGGCAGCTTCCTCCTCCTACGGATCATTTCGAACACACACTCGGGGAAGACGCCAGAGTGGAGTGGGGGGGGGGAGCTTATTTACTCTTAAAACATAGATGAGTATTTGTTTAATCTCTCTCTCTCTCTCTCTCTCTCTCTCTCTCTCTCTCTCTCTCTCTCTCTCTCTCTCTCTCTCTCTCGCTATGGGAGGCATATGGCGTTGTTTCCTTGTGAAGATGATGGAGAGAAGAAACATACCTTTGTATACGCGATAGAAATGGACTAGACATGCAACTTTCTCCAGATTGAACACGATGCAGCAGTCTTTCGCCGGAGTTACAAGCACCAGGAATCTCAGGATTGTGCTCGACGCCTTCAAGATCAGGTTCTTGGAGAAGTTCTTGATATTCAACTTCGTTGACATATTCATATCCCTAAAACCCTTGTCTATGCTGATAACTGTTTATTAATTCTCGATTTATACAAAAGAGAAGATGCCCAATGCCTTAAGTCCATTAAACATAAAGTTTAAGCTAGATCTGTTTGGTGAAACGCATTGGCAGATTACATTTGATTCTGAGATAATGTGAGGACTAAACAGTACGATGTAACTGCAGGAACTAAAATACCCAAGAAGTTCGAGATAAGATAAGAAAGACAAGATAAGTAGCCAAGAAACGAACAGCATTCAGGGTCTTCCGATTTAAAACCTAAAGGTCATTGGCGCTCTACACAACAGTAAGGTCATTGACATTTTTCCAGTACTGAAGACTGGACATAAGATGATGGAGGATAACAACTTCTAGCTTTACAAAGACTTGTAAAAATGTTAATGTCTATCCAGCCGAACCCCAAATATCAGCTAAGAAGAAAGAATGACAAACACACAATAAAAAAAAATCACAGGATAGAAGCAATTATTTTATTTTTTTGCCAATTTATCTATGTCATTAATATATGTGCAATAGCATTCGTATTTCAGAAATAACATTTGGTATTTTAGTATTAGTGCTAGAAATACCACTATTAAAGGAATGTAAATTGATAGTCAAGTTATTACAAGGCTCTAAGGATCTAGGCAGATCTAAACAATTTCTCTACGTTGCTACTAACGTTGAGTCGGGAAGTAACGTCAGGTTGGACCCCGGGGATGTTAAAGAGTATCCTGACGACGCCTTCGTTACCCTGGTGGGCGGCCAAGTGGAGGGGGGTGAGGTCAGCCTCCGCCCCCAGGTCGGGCAGGAAAGGCCGCCCACCGCTCAAAATGGGCGGCTCCGACTTGATCGTGGCTGGAATGTGAGTCAGCAGCTCTCGCACGATCTCTGATCGAAGAAAAGATGTAACGGGATAAGGTTAAGGATTCGAATTCCCTGTATTCGTGGCGATTCGTGACAAGCATTCTGGTATCCTTTTCCCACATGTATCAATTGTTGTCTAAAACGCTTTGACACTATTGTACTGTATATTACTGCATTTGAAGGATGAAGGATTTTACTATCTATGGAGCTTCATATTCATGTGTTTAGATTTTTAAAATATACATTTTTAATTAAATCTAATTCAATTTTAATTAAAAAATTTAAATCTAAAAAATCACGTTTACAAATTTCGGATGAGATGTCGGTTTTTTTTTTGGGGGGGTGTCATTTTTCATCATTCAGAGACCTGGGATTATCTTAGACATGGTTCTGGATGATTGTATTGGCACTTACACCCATCACAATCCTACACGAGAGTCTTCCAATCCTAACATCCCCCACTTCAACACCCAATCCATTATATGCTCTACCAATCCCACCTATTTCGCTCCACACTTCCCACCCATTGTGATTAAAATGCTTTTCATCCATCAACAAATTCCACCTTACCCTATTCTACCCAATCCTCCAGTAACCCCCCCCCTTTCCCCAATCCCCAAATGGCTCCAAATGCCCTTTTCTCTATCCAAATACAATTTTATGCCATAATATATATCGATGGTGGCAATTATCAATCGATTTAACATTTAATACTTGTAATTTCATGTCTTGTCTGAGACTCGAATCATTGAAAACATAACTAACCCCTCGCCTCCACATCTTGTCACCCACCTGCTCATGACCCACCTATTCACAACTCACTATCCTATCCATCCCAATTGAAAATTAACCCAACCATCCATCCATCCGGTACCACGACCCAAGCTAGCTATCTATCCACCCAGAAAGGCAAATAATTAAAAACAAATTGTTGTGAAAAGTGTAAATATACAATCACAACCACACACCCTCTATTGTGTATGACATGTCAAATAAACCTATTACAATGTCACTTCCAAAGCTGACCTGTTTGACCGTAGTGAGCAGCGACGTGAAGGGCATAGAGACCCAGCTTCTTGCTCGTTATCCTCAAGCTGGTGACCTCCCTCAAGGTGTCCAATACCTGTATGTGACCGTACCTCGCTGCCAGGTGCACTGCTGTGAACCCCGCCTGCACGCGCACACGCACACGCATACAAAGAAAAGTTACATTAACTTAGGTAAATGGGATTGATTTCTTTCATCAGTATAATTATCAACGGTCCGGCGAACAGGAGAGATATAGATACAAAATAATAGAGATATTTAGTTAATTGAATATAGAGAGATATCTGAACGAATATAGCTAAATGACTGTTGATCGCTAAATGGATATATCGTGGAACGTGTTTATATTGCTGGGAAACCGTATCAAGTCCTCACGAAATATTGATCGCATTGGAAACTTTTTGAATAGAGCATTTAAAAAATTTTATATTTTTAATTTATCTATATAAGGGTAAAAGAGTCACAATATAAAATGGTTTTCGGTTTGTAGTCTCCTAGAAAGGGAGCTACATTGACTAAAATTCATGAACTATAATTTACAACATACAAATTTTCGGAAGAAATAAGAAAAAAATTTGTATCTAAAATACCTAGATATATATATATTTATATATAACTATTCAGAATTTATCCAATCAAAAAACAAATAAATAATGTATAATAAAATCACAAGGACGTAATGTATCTATAATAAAATATTTAGGATGTACAATAGGATCAAACTCGCATTCCTGAACGATTCAGAAACGCCGGTTCGAATCCCACAACACACTGCTTCAACATATCCTCAAACAAATAATAGAACTGAACACCCCCTTAAAAGAAACCTACGCCGTTCTCAGCTTTGGGCGAGGCGCCGTTCTCAATGAGGAACTTGACGAGGTTGGCGTGACCTCCTTCAGCGGCCAGGTGCAGCGTCGTGGACTCCCCGACGCGGTTCTTACCGTTGATCACCACGCCTCTGTTGTGTCTCATGAGCTCCCTCACCACGTCCACCGACCCCTGCAGCGCTGCGATGTGCGCGCAGGTGTTGCCGTCCTGCGGAGGGGCGAGATGGGGAAGGTATAGTGATGGAGATTGTGATGAAAACGGTGGTAAAAAGGTATATTAATTATCAGGTCGAGGGTACTAGGGGGTAAGCCGACTATATATATAACAAATCCTCGTCACGGCCCTTGTGGATTTGTTCATATATATAACACTTGGACGTGACATAAGGGCACGGGAGACATCTCCCGTCACGCAGGGTGCAGTCGCACCTCCACAGATCTCCAGTATCAAGCTCTTGATACTGGTAATGGCTCAAAAGGGCCACCACTTACGGGCTATTCATGCCCGTGCCACCTTTTGGGTGGCTTAATCTTCATGAATCATCAATCTTCAATATGGAGGTTGATAGTCTTCAAGCCTAACATCAATCCGGTCCCCTTCCCCCTTTCCAACACTCACGTGTGACACATTATCTCAACTCTCAGATTGATGATTACTTGATGAAGTTTAAGCCACCCAAGAGGTGGCACGGGCATGAATAGCCCGTAATCAATGCTCAGTCTCCGCCCATCTTAAGACACACTGGTGACTGACCTTGTCGGCGGTGGTGACCAGCTCAGGAGAAGTCTTGAGAAAAAGCTTCACCACCTCGGAGTTGTTGCGCATGGCCGCGACGTGGACGGCCTTCTGCCCTGCGTCAGTAGTGGCGTTGTAGTCCGCCCCGAGCTGTAGCAGAGTGTCGCACACCTCCAGCTGCCCCTCCTCCGCCGCGAGATGCAACGGCGTCTGCTTCGTCTGTAGCAACGGTATTGAAAAGTTGAATAATGATTTGAGAAAGCCACCCCTCAACATCAATAAAGAAAACGTACATTTCGAAATATAAACATCAAAATAAAACAATAATTCACACCAGTTTTTCAGTTGTCTACGCATACATAGACCAAAAATGCCATATGAACTAGTAATAATCACAAAAAAATGAGAATAACGCAGAAAACTCAATAACTAATAAGATTATATCCGCATCAAAAAAAAATAATTCCACGGTAAATGCAAGACTTTCAAAAACACCGGAAAACCACTAGGAGAAACAGGAGTGAAGAGACTGTATGAAGGGGGGACTTAAGAGGCCCTCTGTCTCACCAGAGTGAGGGCTTCCTTCTGCGAGTGGTGCTTGGTGATGAGGGCGCGGACCAGCTCGTTGTAGCCCTTCATGGCCGCCAGATGCAGCGCCGTCAGCCCGGACATGCTACGGGCGTTGACGAAGGCCTTATGCGTCAGGAGGGCGTCACACACCTGTGAGAGGAGGAGGAGGAGGAGGATGTAGTGAAGGTCTCACACCTGAGGGAGAGAGGGCAAGAGGAGTAGTAAGATGGTGAAAAGGTAGAGAAAGATATGTGTGTGTAAGAGGGATGGGAAAGAGAGTTGGACAGACGGAAAAGTGGGAATGATGGAGTTAGTGGTATAGGAGAGGAGGGGAGGGACAGGGATGGGTGTTTGTGATGGCTTAAGGTGGAAAAGACGTATACATTTTGGATATTAGGTGTTGTTCAAGGAAAGGGAATGAAAAAGGAAGGGGGAAAGTGGGAGGGAGAGGAGTGCTCAATAAAAAGAGTCAAAGAGAGTTATGAGAGTAATAAAAGGTAAACTAGAAGAGGGTATGTTTGTGGAAAAGGAGAGAGGTAGCCTTAGCAAAAGTAAGGGACAGAAGGATCGAACTAAAGTAAGATTTCACTGCTTCTGAGGTGCGTACCGTACCGCCCTGCATCCAGGCATTAGACGCCCTGGACCCAGGCATTCACCACCTTCCACCCAGACATTCACCACCTTCCACCCAGACATTCACCACCTTCCACCCAGACATTCACCACCTTCCACCCAGACATTCACCACCTTCCACCCAGACATTCACCACCTTCCACCCAGACATTCACCGCCCTCCACCCAGACATTCACCACCTTCCACCCAGACATTCACCACCTTCCACCCAGACATTTACCACCTTCCACCCAGACATTCACCACCTCCTAGCTGGCTCACCAGCTTGTAGCCACGTTCTGCGGCCAGATGGAGCGCTGCCTTCCCCTCACTGTCGAACACGTCGACTCTAGCGTGGTGATCGAGCAGCGTTGCAACAATCCCTTCATGGCCGTTCTCAGCGGCGTTCAGCAACGGGGACCAGCCCTTCGTCGACTGCATGTTTACAAGTTTCTGAACCTGTAGGGGGGAGGGATGAGAACGGCATGTTAGAATTGTTATGGGTGTATTTTTGTTGTCAAAGTACCGGTATAAAATAACAGTGTAAAGAAATACAAAACATCATTGAATCATGCTTCCTAAATTCTGATACACAAAAATAGGAGAAAAAAGTACTGCATGGTTTATTTTTTTAAGTTTGTATTACTGATTTAAATCTATACACTCAAGGTAAATGTATGAAGGTAAGTATACATAGAGAGAAGTACAAAAGAAAGAGGAGAGAATATTTGAACTCCAAAATTTGAGTTTGTTTGTCTCTGTACGAGTCGACGGGGAGGGACCTAGAAAAATAATGTGGTAGAAGGTAGGTATTGACCTTGTTAAACGGTAATGACCCCTCTTAGACTCGTTGCAGTGACCTTTTCCTGTTGCTATGACCTTTGATTTTCGAATTGTTCCTTTCCTGTTGTCCTTAATTATTTCTTTACCAGTGGGTAAATGAGAAGACGATTTCTGTCTCGATTTAGCAGACTAAGAATTTTCCCCTTCCTAAAATTTCTTGTAAGACTCACTTTACTGGTTTGACACCCAACCCACCGTGGCACTGACCTTCCCCTTGTGGCACTGACCTTTCTCCTATGGCACTGACCTTGTCTTGGGGGGCAAACTGAAGCATCTCATCCAAGACAGCCTGATTGCCAGATGTTGACACATAGTGGATGGGAGTTTCGGAATTCTGCAATAGAATATATCCAAAGAAAAAAATTAACATTATTATTGCTGATAAATGTGCTCCATATAAAAGCTATAATGTCAATTATGGATGGTATAGCAGACGAATAAATATGTGCTATGGAACCAGGGCGGGAAACAGGTGTTATACCTGCTTTAGATATAGAAAGAAGAGGGTTGCTATGGGCTAACTACTAGGGGGGGAAAACACTAATTCAGAACTTTGAAAATCAGTAACATAAATATGAAGTTATCTGACAGTATTTGTTCAGTATATTATCTGACCATGAAACTAACTAATTGTAAAACTTCCGTAACACAACATGTCAGAGAAGGTCTCTATGAGACTGAACACTAAGATGTCTCTTAAGAAGTTCACACCTTCATCACACTTTGCCATGAAATCGAAGGACGTCAAACATATTACCTTATCATACTTACCTGCCATACATATCTGCCATTTCTACCTGCCATACATATCAGCCATACCTACCTGCTATACTCAGTTTTAATACATCTTAAACATTTTCTTTTAAAGAAAGAACTAAGCACCATTTTTATATTTCCTTCCGTTACAACTGTTTAAGAACATCTTTTTCCACTCCACAAGTTTACTATTGTATCTATAAACTAGAGCCCTTAGCATTTGCCCTCAAATCCGATATCTTTTTTTTTACTTATTTTATAAATTGAGTTTCACTCTTGGACAAATATGAGAGTCAGTGGGCATTCCTGGACACATATGAGAGTCAGTGGGCATTCCTGGACACATATGAGAGTCAGTGGGCATTCCTGGACACATATGAGAGTCAGTGGGCATTCCTGGACACATATGAGAGTCAGTGGGCATTCCTGGTCACATATGGGAGTCAGTGGGCATTCCTGGACACATATGAGTAGCATTGTGGTTTCCTGGACACATGTGGGTAGAACTATGCACTCCTGAACTCATGTAAAAAGCATATGAGGTTTTTATACTACGACTGCATACTCAAGAGTGATTCTCTCATACGTTGTATAAAAAACCTGGAAGGTTCTTTTTTTGTGGATATCAATTTCTCATCTTGTCAAAATAATGATTGCTAATAGACGAAGCTTCTTGCAACACTTTGCACCTTATTTTAAGAAAACTTTCAAGATAACGTTTGCGATCACTATTTAACCAAATTCCAAGTATTGAGAGAACCCTCGTTAGTAACCAACGCCGGGGAAGCTATGTTTCCGAAAGCAATTCTGACGTAAAGATGACGATTGATTAATGACGATTAAGCCACCCTAGAGGTGGCACGGGCATGAATAGCCCGTAAGACGTGAAGACTCTCATTGATGTGTTGTTATAGATTCAGCTACTCGGAACAAGTTCCAAGTAGCACGGGCTATGATGAGCATGTAGGTTACCTGGCACAGGAGCGGGGCAAGTAGCACGGGCTATGATGAGCATGTAGCTTACCTGGCACAGGAGCGGGGCAAGTAGCACGGGCTATGATGAGCCCGTAGCTTACCTGGCACAGGAGCGGGGCAAGTAGCACGGGCTATGATGAGCCCGTAGCTTACCTGGCACAGGAGCGGGGCAAGTAGCACGGGCTATGATGAGCCCGTAGTGGACTTACCTGGCACAGGAGCGGTGCTGGAAGACTCACAACACAGGTATATATTTATGACAGTGTCAGACCACGGATATCATCTATTGATACTGGTGATGGCTCAAAAGGGCCACCACTTACGGGCTATTCATGCCCGTGCCACCTTTTGGGTGGCTTAATCTTCATCAATCAATCAGACCACGGAGGAAAATTGAAACAGGAATTTCCTTAAGTACTTTCGTATATTAATATATCTTCAGAAGGACTCCTTCTGAAGATGTCTTAATATACGAAAGTACTTAAGGAAATTCCTGTTTCAATTTTCCTCCGTGGTCTGACACTGTCACATTTTTAATCACGTGTTTATTTTCGTGATATACACACAGGTTTATATTTATATATATATTACCTTGGTGGTGACGACCATAAGGTGAGCCCCGTTGGTGAGGAGGAGGTTGGCCATCTCCCTGTCCTCACCGGCCTTGTACGTGGCGTTCTTCTTGTTGACTCTCCCGGCGTAGTGGAGCGCCGTTTCTCCCAGGTTATTCTGAAGGCCAATCACGTGCACAATGAAACCACAAGAATGTGATGTATCTATGGGGGTGGGGATATATATATATATATATATATATATATATATATATATATATATATATATATATATATATATATATATATTGAGGACACGTGGTTCTAGGGAAATTAGTTTTTCTCGGGTGGTTAGTAATGATAAATTGGAGAATTACCTACGCGGGTTCGAGAGCGATCCTGCTACGAAGATTTACTTATTATTTGGGAAAGTTTCTAAGATTATTATGAGAGTAAGAACAGTATAGGACACGGCAACCCTTCAAAATTGATGTAAAAACAAGCCTTTAATCAGTCTTTTTCTATATTTTACGAAACTTTCCTGACAATCTTGACAGCTAAGCATGTTGCTGTCATTAACTTTTGGCATAGCTGAGAAAACAATTATGCAACTTGTGAAATATCAGATATAATTGATCAGGAAATCTATCATATTAGAGAACACACTGAAAAGATAGCTACATTGCAGGAGAATATACCTACAAAAATAAACATGGCTTTGCAGAAGAGGAACGTCTCAGAAAGCCTATCTTGCAAGATACCCATCATAAAATTACTGACCTTGCAAGATACCCACCTACAAAAGCCTGACTTTGCAGGAGAACCACTTTAAATAATGCCTGACCTCTTAGGAAAGCCAAACCATAAAAAAAGTCTATCTCGCAAGATATTCACCTTTGTGTTCACCATCTTAGCGACAGCTTCCTTGCCACTCTTCTTAAGAACATGTTCAATCAACATCTTGGCCGCTTCCACCCGACAAGACGAGCACGCCAAGTGCAGCGACGTCTCTCCGGCCTAGAGGTGCAAGACAAAGACACGTACATGGAATAAATAAGTAGATAATTAAGATCAAGTGTTGTGAAGATCTTCATTGGGATCATCCCAAGTTGGGATTACCTTTGATTATTAGATTCTACTACGGGTGCGGCGGACTCTTTAGACCCTATTTTATTATTGATTCCCTTTGGCCTTCTGAGGCTCCAATTGCACCTGCATTTAGCTTAGGCCTATCCACTGAAGGCTGTATATCATCACGCCAAGAATTGTGTTCGAATATATTTCGAACACAAACTTTGCCATTATTGATTAGCATACACACATTTACAGAGACTAGCAGATAAAACCAGCGCCAAGATTCATCAAGCATTTACTTACAGAAGGTTACATTTACATTTACACTTACGAAACCTGTGCATCTTTTTTCGATCGTGGCGGCGTAGTCTGTATTTATTAATTTTTTTTTTTTAGCTCCGAGGCGTCAAGAGGTTGTTTGCAGCCATAATAATCTTGGGTTGCAAAGTTTCTTTAGCTTGTAAACTCTTTATTAAATGTAGACAAAACAGCCATTAGGAAAGATATACAGGTTTCGTAGGGGGACCACGTCAATGCTTGATCAATCCTGGCCTCCAGAAGTGACTTGGGAGGTATACCTTGGATTGTATTAGTGGCTTAGCACTGTCGTCCTCGAGTAGAAGCTTGAGAGTCTTCAAGTTACCGTTGTAAGCCGCTAGATGGAGGGGCGTCTGGCCGTCGTCCTTGGGCAAGTTGGCGTCGGCGCCGGACTTGAGGAGCATCTCGGCGCACTTCTCCCCGTCCTTGACCCTCGCCGCCAGGTGAAGAGCAGACTCCCTTCCGGTTCCTCCTGCAGCAGAGAGGGAGGCATGAGCTCTCTGACCCATCGAGGCCGACACATAGAATACGTTAATTTTGACAGAAATGCTTTAATGCTTATCAATATGTCTCATTTTGAACGGATCGGTTGATTCCGTTAAAATGCGACGTACTATGAGGAGGGTTAATAACAGACCCGGGGGTGCGGAATGGTCCTTCCTCAAGTCCAAATCTATTTTTTGGACTGGATTTTTGGACTTGTCAATTTGGACTTGTCAATTTTGGACTTGTCAACTTTGGACTTGTCAATTTGGACTTGTCAATTTTGGACTTGTCAATTTTGGACTTGTCAATTTTGGACTTGTCAATTTGGACTTGTCCATTTTGGACTTGTCAATTTCTTGGGGGTTTTTGCATGACAAGAAGCGCATGTCACCGTCTGTAAACCACTTAACTTATCAGCGCCGAGTCTCAGTAGTATGAAAGAAAGTCAATGTTGTGCTTCTTTGAACTTCATAAATGAACCGAACTGTCGTCGCTATAGACGATAGCATCAAATATGCGGCAGAATAAATGTGAGGACAGGGTGCTTCACCCACAGCCATACAGAGGGCGCGAATCTTGACCCTCAAAAAAATTAAAAATACAGATTCAGACTCCTGGTTCACGAAACACTCTTCTCTAGGTGATTATTTCTTAGCATTAAACTGTATAGTCGTAACGGCTTAGTGTTTTCTCCTGATAACTACCCACCTCTTCTCTATGAAACTATTTTTTCTTTTAAATGTGTTTCTATTTATTCATTTTATTACATCTTTTAATTAAATTGTAACTGTTCGCTGTCATTTCTAATTAAGTGCTGGAAAAAAATATGTGTAATTGATTGAATAAATAAACTTGTGAGTGACTGGTTGACGTGACAGGTGAGGCCTATAGTAGACAGCTACACACACCAAGAAGGTAGTTAATACACGGAGAGGCCTCACATTAACGTGATTGCATCAGTGAGAAGAACAGTAGGAGCCGTAAAGACGATTCCAACCTATGCGGTGTGTGTTCCTACAGATTTTCACATTGATACAGTCACCTTAGTGTGATTACTCTCTGTGTATTGACAGAAGGGTGTCAGGGACAGAACCTGTCTGGACGACAGAGCCAGAGGGCATTGGGGATTGTGTGAAAATCCTGTTCCGACTTCAGTGGAAGGCTCAGGAAACTCTCGTGTATTCAGTAGAACTCCAGGTTGCAATCCTTATACCATGTCGTGGTCTAGTGGCTAGAAGCGTGTGTGTGTGTGTGGGAACACCCACCGTATAGGTTCGAACCCTCATCACGGCTCCTACAGATTTTTACAAAGTAGTTAATTGTGGTGATTCGGGTCATTTTTTTATATCATGCTAGCGAACAGCTTAGAAAAGTCCCCAGTCTTTTGACGTTATTACTGATCATATTAGCTAAGAGGATTAGGAAGGAAGAGTATGTTAATCAACCCTTCACACACAACGATTCGGAAATCGTGTTGCAGCATCTATTCTTAATTGCAAGAAAGTAGGCGCTGCCGAGTGCGCTTCTTATGCAAAATCAATTTGTGATTTAACTACAGATAGTTGTTAATGAGGAATAACAACGTGTTTAAATTACGCAACGTTATTGACCACCATCAGGGGAGCAGAAAGCTTCTACTAAGGCTTATAAGTCTATTAAGACTTATTAAGTCCCCCCCTAACTACTGATCTTCCCTGGAATGCAAACCCCACAACAGTTGCCTAACGCAAGTATCAGGTGAAAGGAAATGGGCCTAACAGTTTCCGTCCTGTCCGTAAAACTGAAACCCGCATTGTGAGCCGAGAGCGTAACCCACTGTGCTACCAGGGAGAGATGTTGAGCTCATGAATATATGCACTCTATTGCAAGGTAAACTCGAAGATGCAGATGAATGTGAGGAATATTACTGACACCAAGAAAAGCTCAAAATTCCTAAGATATCTGCACTGGTAAGAGCCTCCGTTATCTAGTGAGAAGGAACGGCGGCACTCGAAGCTGAATTACTCAATAAAGATACGAGATACAGAGTAACATGAGAGAATTACCTTGCATGGTGAGGTCGGCGCCGTGGCCCAGAAGAGCTTCCACCATCGCTGGTTTGCCGGCCTTGACAGCTATGTGGAGGGCGGAGTAGCCGTCCTGAGGGAGGACATCATGGGGTCAACTTCGTGGCGAGGGTGTCAGATAAAAAGGTGAAGCGGGAGATGCGAGGGTGACAAGCAGAATATGAAGAGGATAGAGAGAGGTGGCAGAGAGTTGTGGCACTAGATGACCAGTACTTAGAGAGATGCCAGAGAGCAACTCTATACACCTAAACTACCCGGTTAAAGGGAGCCGGTCGGCCGAGCGGACAGCTTACTGGACTTGTGATCCTGTGGTCCTGGGTTCGATCCCAGGCGCCGGCGAGAAACAATGGGCAGAGTTTCTTTCATCCTATGCCCCTGTTACCTAGCAGTAAATAGGTACCTGGGTGTTAGTCAGCTGTCACGGGCTGCTTCCTGGGGGTGGAGACCTGGTCGAGGACCGGGCCGCGGGGAAACACTATAAGCCCCGAAATCATCTCAAGATAACCTCAAGATATACCCCTTAACCCTGTATCAACTAGCAACTAATGAAACACTCCACTACAGTACAAAGCACAAATTATTTATATCTCAATGTATTCTGTAATTATACAGATCTTTGGTCAGTATAGAGCTTTGGAAAGCAATGGAAAATAATAATGAATACAAAACTAACGACAAAGCAGAAAGCTTAACAAAGCCATTTGATCATTAACCTTTATGACACCAGGTACATATCTTATATGTAAAACCAAATGTGAACTGCACTAAAAAGATCAAAGTTCACAATATAACAAGAACACAATGAATCTCGAAAAAAAATATATTGCAAATGAACCTTTGAAGAACAAATATATTGAAGCATGCAATACTTCGGGTTGAGATATTCTTTATAAACCCAATCATGTTACAGTCAGCAATGCATGTACCAGATAGGTTCGAAGGTCAAGGTGAGGAGGGGAATTTGTGGGTCGAGGGGAAGGGAAGGGAGGGGATTGTGGATCATTGGAAAGGGGGTTTATGGGGTCAAGGAAAAGGACTTTGTAGGTCAAGAGGAAGGGCTTTCTAGGTCATGGGAAGGCGTTCGACCCCATTAAAGATGTTTAAGTGTGCAGAAAAGGTAAAAATAAATCCCAAATCCCCAGCTCTCACGTTGGTAGTGACATCGACGTGCTCTCCCTTGTGCAGGATGGCGTTGACAACGCCAACGTGTCCACGCTGAGCTGCTGTGTGTATGCACCGCGCCCCGCTCTTGTTGGGCATGTGTAGGGGCACACCTGTGGAAGACCACGAGACACACGCTGATTAGTGTCCGGCAGATGTGTGTCAATACACACCTGTGTGAAAGCCAGATAGCCTAGGGTGTGTGCTTACTAGTTTAGTGATTAGCTAGTAAGAAATTAGATTAGCTAGTAAGAGATTAGAAACCTTTAGCAGGATACTAGTTTCACGTGGCTGAGGAGCTGTATATTCTGGTTGGTAGTGTAGACAAAGTTTACCAGGCGCCTGAATACTCTGGCTACTGTATACGAGGGTTTACCAGGATTCGGCGGAGGGCCTGTAAACTCAGGCTACAAGTATGCACCAAGTTTACCTAAAACCTGTGGAGGACCTGTAAACTCCGGCTAAACAAGTGTATAGAAGTTTACCAGGAATCCTGCTGTATAAATTTGTGTCATTCTTGAAGCAAAAAAATATACACTTGATAAAAATGTAATTAATTTAAAATGCTGTTAATTTATTCTGTTTCAATTAGATCCACAAAATGTATATTTTCTTTTACTTAGATTCTTGATAAAGGAATTATTATTGATTATCACAGGTAAATATATTTTAAGGATATACACTGAAAATAAGTATTGAAGTAAGATCCAGTGAACTCGTTCGTATTTGCTTGAAAATTAACATAGGAAACGATTATAATTAGCTATGGAAATGACTCCCACCCACACCCAAAAAAAAGAGATTTTTCTCTCTTTCGCTTCAGCATCCCACACAGAATTATTCCTCTCTCTCTCTCTCTCTCTCTCTCTCTCTCTCTCTCTCTCTCTCTCTCTCTCTCTCTCTCTCTCTCTCTCTCTCTCTCTCTCTCCCTCTCACCTTTCCTGAGGAAGGCCATGACGGTGTCAGGGTGGCCGTGTAGGGAGGCAATATGCACTAATGTCGAACCATCCTTGGTCCGGTCCATCACTGAAGCCTTGTATTTCTCCGCCAGGAGGTCGACGACGGGCGTGAAGCCGTTCTCCGCCGCCACGTGGATGGGCGTGCGATCTACCGTCGGGGGGAAGAGGGTGGAGGAGTAAGGAGAACGAGGTAAAGTTAGTGGGCGTGGAGGAGTAACTTGAAGGGGTAAGGAAGGGAGAGGGCGTGCGAATATTAGAGATACGGCTACTGTGCAGTTCGGTGGAAATGTATTAAAGGGGGTACTCCAGCTAAGGGAGAAGAGGGGGGCTATTAGCCAAGGGAAGGAATCTGTTGGGCAAAAGGGCAGAGTTTATGGATTCATGGGCTGTAAAAATAATTAAAGAAATCACCATTCGAGTAAACATAAACTTAGAAGCGTTAGAACGGAGCTGATATGATATTTATTCGTGGAGTGATTGGGATTCGTGGGGTGACTGGGATTCGTGGGGCGATTGGGATTCGTGGAGTGATTGGGATTCGTGGGGTGATTGGGGCTACCTATCAAACAGAGCTAACATTTATCAATAACATCTCGAAAAAACTTTATTGAAACATAACTTTATAAGAATTATTTGAGTATTTTTAATACTGAGAGTTCACAATATGCAGTTTTAAGCGTAACTAATGTAGTGAAAGTTTGTACAATAGAAACAGCTGAATGAGCTTCTTCCTGATTTATACATACTGTTTGTACTTGTTTTTAATTCAACTCATTAATTAATAAGTTTAATTCAGGAATAATTTTTTGGGTGAAAAGGTGTTCTTTCTCACTCTTGGATCATGTGTGAGCACTGTGGTGTAGTTCAGTTAAGGCGTAGTGTTCTGTGAGTTATCTTGAGGTTATCTTGAGATGATTTCGGGGCTTTAGTGTCCCCGCGGCCTGGTCCTCGACCAGGCCTCCACCCCCAGGAAGCAGCCCGTGACAGCTGACTAACACCCAGGTACCTATTTTACTGCTAGGTAACAGAGGCATAGGGTGAAAGAAACTCTGCCCATTGTTTCTCGCCGGCGCCTGGGATCGAACCCAGGACCACAGGATCACAAGTCCAGCGTGCTGTCCGCTCGGCCGACCGGCTCCTAAAAAAACCGGCTCTTGAGTGTTTTCAAGATATTCGGATAAAGTTTAGGGCTCTGTTTAGATTATGTTCTGTAAGCGTGACGTACTGTAAGCGTTGTGTCCTTTAAGCGTTGAGTTCTTCAAGCGTTGTGTTGTGTAAGTGTTATCTGCTATAGACATTGGGTTTTATTAATGCTGTGATCTGTTGCCGCTGGGTTGTACGAGTGTGGTTGTATGTGTGCTCGGCGCAGTATACACACTCGGTGAACACACGTGTGTATAGTGATACATTTGAGATAAGAAAGGGTTAGACTTCCATTGCGTCACGAGAGCGCTGATTCGGGCGTCTTTTTAAGTACTAATGAACTGTAAAGGTCATGACTAGCGAGGGGGGTGAGGTAAGGTTAAGACTAGCGAAGGGGGGGGCGGGGGAGCAGGCTAAGAGTGTGTGTGTGTGTGTGAGGTTCGTGTCTTCAGTATGTGCTTCGTTAGGAGAGCGTGATAAAACGTGTGTAATTGAGTCATTTTGTCCGGTGACAGGAAGCCTGTGAATATATATGTCCTTTAGAATTGTATCGAGGTCCACCCCCGCAAGGTCGAACTACTGACCATTTCACTGGATGCAAAACCCTTCCCACAACAGCTGCCTTTATCACCCGGACACCTATTTACTGGAAGGTGAACAGGGAGGGTATTACGTGAAAGGAAACGTCCCCAGCCATTTCTATCCCGGCTGGGAATCAATCCCAGGGGAGCCTGTCCGCCGAGCGGACAGCACACTGGACTTGTGATCTTGTGGTCCTGGGTTCGATCCCAGGTGCCGGCGAGAACAATGAGCAGAGTTTCATTCACCCTATGCCCCTGTTACCTAGTAGTAAAATAGGTACCTGGGTGTTAGTCAGTTGTCACGGGCTTCTTCCTGGGGGGTGGAGGCCTGGGACACTGAAGCCCCGAAATCATTTCAAGATAACCTCAAGATAACCCACGGTCCCTGATTGTCAAAAGCAAAACCAAATGTATGTGTAGAGAGCAAATTCCAGATTACTACTGACAGTTGCTCCCACCTAACACAAATGTTTGCTAGGCCTAGCAACATCCCCTGGGCCCAGTTTTTTTTTTTTTTAGGCGTCGAAAGTTTAATACAGACAATACTATAATAATATATAGGCCTGTATAATACAATACGAGCCTCCCTTGAGTTATATCAGGTATATGATACATAGACTTTATAAAAACTATTGATGGAGGACGCGTCTATTGTTTTACTCTTCTTGGTTTGTTGCCAAGCAGTGGAAACGTGTGTGTAGTCACCTATTCACCTATTTGTGCTTGCGGGGGTTGAGCTCAGGCTCTCTGGTCCCGCCTCTCAACTGTCAATCAACTGGTGTACAGGTTCCTGAGCCTATTGAGCTCTATCATATCTACACTTGAAACTGTGTTTGGAGTCACCCTCCACCACATCACTGCCTAATGCATTCCATTTGTCAACCACTCTGACACTAACAAAATTCTTTCTAATATCTCTGTGGCTCATTTGGGCACTCAGTTTCCACCTGTGTCCCCAAGTGCGTGTGCCCCTTGTGTTAAATAGCTTGTGTGTGTGTGTGTGTGTGTGTGTGTGTGTGTGTGTGTGTGTGTGTGTGTGTGTGTGTGTGTGTGTGTGTGTGTGTGTGTGTGTACATGTCTGCTACTTACAGCTCCATGAGACGTAAGGAGCATACAGTACTCCACAAATCGTTCCGAACTACTTCGCAGAAGCAGCCTTCGCCAAAATAACAAGGAATTACCAAGCAGCCGAATTACGACTTATAGATCAACACCAATAACGCCTGACAACCTGACTGGGATAATACAGTAGTTGCGTGGAGAGACTTACCAAACTTATCCATGATGTTGGGGTTCGCGTGGACGGTGTAGAAGAACTTGACGGTGGGCTCGTCTCCTTCTTCAGCGGCAATGTGGAGTGGCGTCTGTCCCGCCGACTGCAACACGTCCACAGGGAGAGAGACAATGTGGTGTTAGAAGGATCATTGTAGCACGTCTGATGCTCCATTCGTGGCGGATCCTCACCAAGACCCCCCCCCCCCCTTCACTAACATACGTGGGTATGATCTTGATCTAGACCCCTTCACTAACATTCGTGGGTATGTTGACCAGACCACACACTAGAAGTTGAAGGAACGACGACGTTTCGGTCCGTCCTGGACCATTCTCAAGTCGATTGTGAGAATGGTTCAGGACGGACCGAAACGTCGTCGTCCCTTCAACTTTTAGTGTGTGGTCTGGTCAACATACTTCAGCCACGTTATTGTGACTCATCGCCTGCATTCGTGGGTATGATCTTTACCTAGACCTCTTCACTAACATTCGTGGGTATGATCTTGATTTAGACCCCTTTGCTAACATTCGTAAGTAAGATCCTGACATATATAAATAAACCTAAATTTAAACTAATTCTTTTCAAGGGCAAAAGTAAAACTGAGATCCATCCCTTGACATTTTATCACAAAGTGTCACATTAGCCCAAACACTCTCGCCAGGTGTGGCAATAAATAATATCCCGAGGCAATAGAGTTATGGCTTATGTGTATTTGTGTTTACACGCGATAATGACCTTGACAGAGTCGTGTAGTTAGGGTCAGTTATGTCTGAAAGCCAATACGTGCTATGTGTGTGTCTTGCTAAGTGACCTCTAACATTGGGTTGATATGGTGGAGTGTGATCACTATATGATATTTATAGTGGTATATCCGTTATGGTGTGACTATTATATAATATATATATGGGTTCTCGGTAGTACAGTCGGGTTCGTTATCGACTCACAATCGAGAAATCCGAGTTCGAATCCCGAGCAGGACAGAAATGGTTGTGCTGCCCTGCCCAACCATTTGTTGGGCAGGGCAGCCCAACCATTTCTGTCCAGTTCGAATTCTTGCCTCGACATGTAGTCATTGACAAGGACTTTTGACAAACCACCGGCTTTCTGTCATCTTCGAGGCCACTAGAGAAATGGTGACCCCTCAGGTAAATTCAGGTAAACCAGTTGAAGAATGGTTTTGGGCTTCCAACTCTCCTTCTCACCCCCCCCCCACCACCCTCTTCCTGTATATGTGCACATGTGAGAGTGCCTTATATAACAAATTACAGCCCCGCTCCTGTGCCAGGCAAGTCCACTACGGGCTCACCATAGCCCGTGCTACTTGCAACTTTTGTTCTAAGCAGCTGAATCTAAAACAACAACAACAACGTGTGCCTTATCCTCACTACACGGGGGGGGGGGGTTTACATATTAGTCAGCAACTAAAGTAAACCAAGGACGCTGTCGATATAATTACCGAGTTTTTTTTTCATTAATATATAATTAACAAAGGGGAGCGGTATAGTCCGTGGGTGTGGTCGGTGAAGGGGGCTGAGGGTCCTATCTCTTAGTGTACGTCATCGAGGCCAGCGATACGCTAATGGTTGCTTGCATTAATCTAGGCTCGTAAATAAACGGTAAAGGATTATCAATTATTAAATAATTTGCTATTAAGCCAGCTCTTTAGGATTATATGTGCAGGGATGTTTCGGCAAATAGTAAGTTTTACCGTTTAGGTTAGTCTATGGTTTTACAAGTTTTCTTTCTTTAAATTGTCATAGAAAATTACTTAAATAATGTTATAGCTATAACTATAATAAAGTTTATTTACACTAAATTTTGAACACATTTCTTCCTGAAGGGTAAAAACAAATGTCTTCCAAGTTCATGTAAGACACTTCCAGCCATTACAAATTGGTGGAAAAGTAAATGTACTTTGGCACCAGTTTGTGATGTCTGGTGCACAAGTACCTCTTTACCAAATTGTTAAAAGGAATGTACAAATATCCAATTCCTTACCTAAAAAAAATCTAGTGCGTAAATTTTAGCTTTATTAAATAAATAAACTCTGTAGCTAGTAAAGGTTCACTGTATTATAATCTTTTGGATATATCTTATTAATAAAATATTATTATTATTATTATTCTTGCCAGAAGGAGATTCGAACCCGTACATTTGGTACGCCCAAACACACGCCCTAGACCACTACACCACGACATGGTCTAAAGTAATGCGACCTGAGATTCTACTGAATCCTCCAGGGTTTCTGAGGCTTCCTCTGAAGCCTAATCAGGGGGTTTCTGAGGTTTCCTCTGAAGCCTAATCAGGGGGTTTCTGAGGTTTCCTCTGGACCCCAATCAGGGGGGTTTCTGAGACTTCCTCTGGACACCAATCAGGGGGGGGGTTTCTGAGGCTTCATTTGGAGCCCAATCAGGGGTTTCACTCATTGCCCGCCATGCACTCTGGCTGTGGTCCAGGAGTAAATGCTTCTCTTCTAATGTTTCTCTAAAGTAATGCTTCTAATGCTTCTCTAAAGTAATGCTTCTCTTCTAATGCACAATGAAATCACATGGAGGGTGGGGAGCGTTGCGTGAAACCCTGATTGGGCTTCAGTGGAAGCCTCATGACCCCTCCCCCACCCCCCGAGGATTCATTTGAGTCCCAGGATATATTATTTTTACCATGTCGTGGTGTAGTGGTCTAGGACGTATACTTGTAGTACCAAGTGTGCAGGTTCGAATCCTCCTCATAATTCTTACAGATTTTCTCAAGATTATTAATCAATTATAATAAATTCTTACAGATTTTCTCAGGATTATTAATCAATTATAATAAATTCTTACAGATTTTCTCAAGATTATTAATCAATTATTAATTATGAAATATTTATTATTATTCAAATAATTAATTATTATTAATTCATTATTGTTATTATTGGAAACCTAAAGCCTAATGTGCTAACTGACACCTTTATATAGCGTTTTGTTTACATAATTATATTTACAAATTTACCAAAGGCTCTCTACATCCATAGTGACCTGGACGGGAACAGGAAGCCGGCGGCCTATCAATAGCCCCCCCCCCACCTCCTCAACCGCAATTGTTCCAATAGGATTTTTCTATCTGGATTTTAAACTGAAACTGTCTTGGATTTACGGCTTCGACAGGTAGGCGGTTCCATGTATTTATATCCCTATGGGTGAATAACATTAGTTTTCTGTCCCACTTTGTGGCTTGTTGAGCTTGAAGATGTAGGCTGTGGAAGGGGGGGGGAATACATTCTACATTCCTTTCCTTCGATGGAGGATCCTATTCGACCTATTCCAGATCCTTGTTCTCATATGTCCTTGCCATGTTCTACAGTAATACTGGTTTAACTCAGTAATACTTACTAAACCTCCAACATTTCCGCCTTCCACTACCTTCCGCTTCCTCCTTACCAACCCCTCCGGTCACAAAACTCAAATCTCTGAATAGACAACATGATAAATACGAGCGTTGGGGGACGTAACCGCACGCACTTGAGTCGGTGAGGCGAAAAAAAGCAGTGCTGGTGGAGCCACTTGTCGGGGAATTAGCATGCAAACAAGAAGTTTGGTTTCTTTTGTTATGACGAGAAGAAGGGGAAGTTGGGTCGGTGGACATGATGGCTAATCTCTCTCTCTCTCTCTCTCTCTCTCTCTCTCTCTCTCTCTCTCTCTCTCTCTCTCTCTCTCTCTCTCTCTCTCTCTCTCTCTCTCTCTCTCTCTCTCTCTCGTCTCTCTCTCTCTCTCTCTCTCTCCCTCTCTCTCTCTCTCTCTCTCTCTCTCTCTCTCTCTCTCTCTCTCTCTCTCTCTCTCTCTCTCTCTCTCTCTCTCTCTCTCTCTCTCTCTCTCTCTCTCTCTCTCTCTCTCTCTCTCTCTCTCTCTCTCTCTCTCTCTCTCTCTCTCTCTCTCTCTCTCTCTCTCTCTTACGTAAATATCTACCCAGAGATTCAAATAACCATACCAGAAGGCCGTAAAAAAATATTATGACATATTCCCAGAGTGATGAAGCCTGTTGCAAAAGCGGTTTGGTGAGCAGTTAAAGATGGTCACTAAAGTTGCATTTCGTTTAGTATATAATCTACAGTAATTACCCTCCAATTGCTGTGGCTATTATGGTGAGTTACCTTCAGGAGAGGGGAAATGCTTCTTTGATATACCACCGAGGGCTTCCATTCTAGCTATCATCTCTACAGCTTATCCAATTTAGATGAACTATGCTGAATCATGCACCTTACATATTAAAATGAATTACGTTTATCCATGTAACCAAATGTTTCCAATAGTATATAAAACTTAGTCTTCAAAGGTTTCTAAAATACTTGAAAGTCCTTTTTTTTAATATAGGAAGGCATTGATTAATGCCACAAGCCTCGATTATTATTTATCTAGGCCTTATGATTACCTTTTCTCTCTACCCCCTTCGACATGTCCAATAGAACCAGGAACGAATGTGCAAATATTTGCAAACAACATAGCTACCAAGGCAGAGGATCAACCCAAGCATCCGTTCAGTCGTACCAGGAGCTAGATACCCTACCCTAGAGTGTATTAACGGGAGCGAATCCACTTACATTCTGGGCGTCGGTGTTGGAGCCCGCCTCGACCAGGATTCGGACCATATCCGTGTCTTTTTTCCGGCAGGCGATGTGGAGGGCGGTGTCTCTGGAGAGGCCGCGGACCGACTTCACCTGGTCTGAGCCGTGGTGGAAGACCAGCTCCCGGACCAGCCCCTGGTGGCTCGCCTCCACCGCCAGGAAGAGGGGAATGTCTCCCCGCTGTAAGCAACCACAACAGGTTAGTTACGTGATCATCTTAGTCTATCTTAAGGCTAAGATGGTCACATACACACACACACACACACACACACACACACACACACACACACACACACACACACACACACACACACACACACACACCTGACGTGGTGAGTGGACAGCTCTCGGGATTCGTAGTCTTAGGGTCCGGGGGACCGAGCCCCGGCGGAGGCGGAAACAAATGAGCAGAGTTTCTTTCACACTAATGCACCTGTTCACCCTTTCTATTTTGTGTTTTTTGTTTTAAGTCTAAACAAAATGCAGCTAATGCTCTTGTATGCTTTTATATATTACAAAAAAATTTGCATTTCTTTATACGTACGAAGGAAGATGGGTTACAATTGCAACATTTGTGTGTAGTGAGTTTACTTGTGTAAGGCTTCTGTAAACTTCCCCTAGTGTACTGGGGAAGTTTACAGTACACTATAACCTAATTTCTGCATCTAAGGCAATAACTATCACCATCACCACTACTCTAACAAGCCATTAGCACCAAGGACAAGCTAAGAGTACCAAGTTGGAGAGCTCTTCATGCTGTGTACCAACCACAATAACTTAAACCTCCTGCCATATGTATCTCCCAATGTTACCCTCGAGATTCCTGGAAGCTAGAAATTTCTTCCTAAGAATCCACTTACCCTCAGCCTGACTGACTTACGACATCAAAAGAGTGTAGACTACATATAGCGCGCGCGCACACACACGCACGCACGGCCCCCCTTGGCTGGACCAAATGATTATAGCATGTAGGAGGGCAGAGGGAGGGAGGGAGGGAGAGAGGGAAAGAGGGAGGGAGAGAGCGAGGGATCGAACTGGCAAGTCGTGACTCTTGCCCAAATTAGAATTAACTCCGCTCCTGTTCCTCCTTCTTTTCCACCACTTACTCCTCTTCCCGCGTCAAGCTGGATGTATAATTCGCTCACCAAGTCCTTCCCGAGTCATGTCTTACTTGTAGAGAATAATACATTATAGCTGTATCACCATCACACACACACACACACACACACACACACACACACACACACACACACACACACACACACACACACACACACACACACACACACACACACACAAGATAAACATGGGCAGCTCTCAAATAGTTCCTTAAACTCGCTCTGCGCCTTTACATCCTGTACGACAACATCCTCAAGGATATTTAATGTCCTTTGTTACTGAAATTCTGAATCGGCTCTGTATGCTCCGAATCAGATTTATGGATTAGTTTGTAATTCGTGTTCCCTTTCTGCTTAACGATACGCTGCTGATGCTTTTCACAATGACCAAACTCAAGGTACCACTGAACCCAAGAGACACCAACGTGTGGTAACTGGGTTCATCTACTCCCACTATGGTTTCTTTATCTACCTCCCTACACGCCGTAGTGGGGGTGTTCTACCTCTCTACGGCTTGTGAATTCACTGTCTATGGGCTTTATCTACTTCCCTACACGCCGTAGTGGGGGTGTTCTACCTCTCTACGGCTTGTGAATTCACTGTCTATGGGCTTTATCTACCTCCCTACACGCCGTAGTGGGGGCGTTCTACCTCTCTACGGCTTGTGAATTCACTGTCTATGGGCTTTATCTACCTCCCTACACGCCGTAGTGGGGGTATTCTACCTCTCTACGGCTTGTGAATTCACTGTCTATGGGCTTACACAGTCAATGGTCATGTATAACTTCTTAAGTCCGTTTTATTCATGTATTATTATTATTATTCACGTCTTTTGCAATAAATAATTCGCTAGTTGTTTGCATGACAGATTCGGCTTTAATTTAGGCGAGATATTACAATCAACAAGAAACATCATAGTAAAGGGCATAATATTCTCTCCTAAATCACATTAGCTATTCCTTAAAAATGTAAGTTATCAACTAGATTCTTAGCAAGACTAAAGTTTTCGTATTTTCATGTTATAAATTAGGGCTAGGTAGAGTGCTGTTCACTCGAGGCGTGAGAAGGAGCCCTAGCACTTGACCCCCTTCAAGTGAAATAGATATAAATGAGTCTCCCTTGAAATACAATCACTTGAATCAGGTCACGAGGTTAGTAGTTGCAATCCGGGTCCCGTTTTTCTTTTTTCTTTTTTTTTAAGCGCCGAAAATCGTGAGAAAATAATGTTTCTTCTGTTATTTAGATATAGAATTAAGTGCGTTGATGATTGAGAATTGGCTGTGGCCAATAACAGTCTTCATCTTATTTGGGCTCTGGCTAATTCTAACGTCAGTTTATTCTGATTTCGTCTAATCCTGACTTTATTTCTCCTCGACTCTTCTATATAAGTTTCTGATACGCCAAACGTAACCTTATTACAGCGGGATCTGGATTAGAAAGGTTCAGAACACTTCATCACAGACTTGATTCCCTGTTTTGTTTACAAACGCATGTAAAGCATTAATTCCTTCCTCTTGGCTTAGTTTCTCAAGGTGCTGGATTTCTAGGAATTACCAAATCCTAATATTTGGTCATTTTTTCCTGGTATTGTCCAGTGGAGGATAATGAGGGAGGATTAATCCACCCAAGAGGTGATAAAGGCATGAGTATAGTCCTTAGACCAGTGGATGATGGATATGCTTTCGTGCAAAATTGGTCTCGTCATTCATATATATATAATGGAAATTTTATAGAGCACTTTGTAGGTTATCTAGCAAGCCTATACATACATACACATTCGAGGGGCTTTTATTTTTCGCACGTTTGATGTAATTTCAATACACATTGGTAAAAATGTGTATATACACATTGCATCATGGATCGTTCTATGTCTACCACCACATAATTTATTTATAATTTACTTATATATGTATTTATTGATGTGGTTGAGCTGGATTACCTATTACATGATTACGTGGCTGTTTACATACACACGTGACACCTGCTTTGCTAGGTACTTACGAGGTCTGTAACGAGTTCGAAGTCCTAGTTGACGTGCACGAACGCTAGGTACTTACGATGTCTGTAACGAGCTCGAAGTCCTAGTTGACATGCACGAACGCGGCGTACTTACGCTGTCCTTGACGAGTCTGAGGTCCTGCTTGGCGTGCATGAGGACGGTCTTGATAAGCGCCACTGCTGCTCCCGTGCTGCGGTTCGCCACCAGGTGCGCTGCTGTCTGCTCTCTGGGCTATATCATAGGCGAGAGAACAGTGTTAATCACACGAGTTAGAGCTCCACTCTGGTGAGCCCACTCCGGGCTCACCATAGCCCGTGCTACTTGGAACTTTTGGTTCCCAGTAGCTAAATCTTTTAAACAATAACAGTGGTGTTAATATCTGACTGGTTAATAAGCGAGGGACTGGAGCTCTGGCTGCCACCTCGCTAATTATGTGAACATGAAGCTTAATAGGGCTTATTGCTCGGGTATGGTATTGGGCTTATGGCTTATCAACCTCTGGAGGGTTATTAAGGCCACCACAGTAGCATAATGACACAGTAATTATATACTTTTGTCCTGAACATTGTCCAGGACTAAGGTAAACTGAGAGTATACTTTAGTCCTGGACACCAAGGCTGAAATTCAGCCTTGAGTTACCGCTTTAAAACAGCGATTCTCAGTAGTCCACTTTTAGACTTGTTTTTTATTTCATATAAAAAAAGCTTAATTTTAAACAAAACTTTAAGACTGAGTTGTGATCATATAAGACTGTCAAGGTCCTTCTTGAACTCTCACAAATGAGGTTTTGACTTAATACATAAAAGATAATTAATAAATTATCTCTAGACTGTGTCAATATTTAGAAGTAAGGTTTCTGTATGACGAGCTCAATCTCAATATCTTCTAGACAACTGTATTCTACAGACTAAATGAAAATTACGTGAGAAATAAGCTCCATAGCTTCCCTACCCAAAGCAAGAAGTTCTCATTAAATATATATATATATATATATATATATATATATATATATATATATATATATATATATATATATATACATATGTATATATATATATATATATATATATATATATATATGTATATATATAATATTATGTAAGCAGCTAACATAATAATTTCAAAGTACTAGAAATATCTAATAACATAGCAGGAGAAACCCTATATATATATATATATATATATATATATATATATATATATATATATATATATATATATATATATATATATATATATATATATATATATAATATATATATATATATATATATATATATATATATATATATATATATATATATATATATATTTCCTATCTAATATCAGCGTCACTAAACAATACGTATAAAATAACTTGAAGCAGAAAAACAATAGCAACAATACACCAACAAATGCATAAAAATGAGCTCCAAGTTCTCCCAGCAGCCAACAGATGGCGTGAAAGAGCTCAGAGGTGGAATAAATAACTTTACACTTAAAAAAAGCAAAGAATTGCCCCCGTGACTTTCATCTGAGTGCCAAGACGTACCTAGAGTCCTGTAAGCAAAATGAGGATGGAAAGTTAGGAGGTGAGCTAAGCCTCTGGGAACTGTCTAAGAGGTCCAGGGCCCAGTTGAGCATTTGGGGAAAGCAAAAATTAAGGCTGTCCAAGAACATCCAAGACCTCAGTGAAAGGGGATTTAAAAGACCTTCATGAAGGTAAGAAAAACATATATAAGCCTTTGTGATTCTCAAATGTGCATTGTGAGGCTGACAGGTGGTAAAGGTCAATAATATATATATATATATATATATATATATATATATATATATATATATATATATATATATATATATATATATATATATATATATATATATATATATATATATATATAATATACATGCATAAAAACCACATTTGAAGAATTAGAGAATGCTGAACGCGTTTTCGGCTCAATTCGCCTTCATCAGAGGGAGATAGAGAGTTAACCCACTGTATCTCGCTCCGATGAAGGGGAATTGAGCCGAAAACGGGTTCAACATTCTCTAATTCTTCAGATGTGGTTTTTCCCACACATATAATCCTCTCGTGAACCATGAGAGGAATAAGAGTGACAGGTGACATAAAAGAGGTGCAATAAGCTTCAGAGCATTCATGGCGTGACTAAAAGCTTGAGTGAGAAGTGCAGCTAGGGATAAAGGAGGCAGTGAGAACCATTGCTCTAGCTCAGAGCCCAAAATGTAAACATAAACAAAGCCACGTGGTACGAGATAAACACAGGACAGATGACGGGATTCGGTACAGTTGGTGGCTGAACAGAGAAAACAGGAAAACCATGCTTTAACTTGTTTATATTTCATGCACACAAACGTAGACAAAGAGTTTTAACTTAAGGCTGAGGAAAGTAAATATATAGTAATTTACAAGCTTGATGCATGTTGACTCTTGTTAAAAGTCAGACACAATACTCCACAAGCTTGGGCTTTGCTATCATAAATTTGAGTACGCAACTGCAATCTTTTTTGTTTCTTAGGATATCCACACTTATTTATTGACGTTGTTTGTCTCAGATGTGAACTCTAGTTTTTGCATCAGGAAAATTTGCACTTTGAAATTTTTATAATAAATTGGAATAAAAACTACTTTGATTCCTTGAAGAAAGAATCCCTTAGTAAGGTGTTGGAGTGGGACAATTGACATATGTGGGATCTCTTTTATGTATACAATTTCAACAAGTGCCTTTAGTGTAACTAAGTTTTTTAATTTAATGTGAGATTATTATTCCTTATAATCAAAAAGCCAAGAAAGGAAGAACTCAGAATGTGATTTTGAATTCCTTATCTGTATTATTAATGCGTATTATATTGGCTTTGAATACTGAATCCGTTCCAGAATCATAAGTCTAAAATGATATTTGGAACAAAGGTCATACACAGCAGAAATACATCAGTAGAAGCAAGTCGCATGCACATTACACAAAAAAGATGAAAGCTGGTTCAGTATATCAGTTTACGGATCTAAAAGTGATTCTAACTTGTCGTACGCTAAGTGAGTGTTTATGTACTATATCTACTAAGTTAGCACAGGCTTATTCAAAGCAAAATCTAAAACACATTACCTCATGCAAAATGGTCTAAGAGGGGGGAAAAATACATTTAGATTATATTAATAGGATTTTATGGATAGCTATTATCCTAAACTAACTAATCTACAGGTTTAACAAATCTTGTTTATGAAGACTCCTGACACACACTGACGCGACACACGTTCAGTGTGTGCCTTGCAAACAGCAAAAAAATAAAAAAAATATTAATGGTTAGCCTAAAGTTCAGGGTAAAAAATTACCAAAAAACAGCATATTCTACCCCATCTCCCTGCAAAATCTGGAGTGGTTAAAATCAGCGATACGTCAAAATATTATCAATACACGCTACAAAAATAAAGAGACTTATTAGCCACAGAAAAAAACAAAAAATATCCATATTATGTACTACGAGAAAAACTTGCCACCAGGCAAATTTTTCGAGCTAGCGGTCTACCTTGGCAAGTAAAAAAATTACAGCAGCACAAAAATTTACGTATTGCTTTATAAAAATGTAGAGCGTCCTTGAGCTTCCTGTGGTTTAGCAGACGTGTTGCTGCCTCTGTGTCCGCGCCCTAAGTATATATTTCTGTGTCAAAAAAACAGAGATTTGAGAGGACTATGTATGTATGTATGTGTGTGAGTGAGACACAAACGTGTCCAAGATGATTTTTTTCTGGGGGTCTATGATGAGATATAGAGAAGAGAGGCAGAAGCGCGCTCACGCACACACACACGCACACAAACCAAAGTGACAGAGCACACATGGCAGATAAGGGATAATAAAATCAGATATATACGTCGTTGAGTGTCGTGTTAGAGGCTCGTTTTTCATCATTGCTACTGACGTTGGAGGAGCGCTTGTCGAGCGGCGCCCTTCCCATGAACTTGCGCGCTGTTTGGGCTCGTTCACAAACCATGTGAATAGTTGTTTGCTGGTAGGGCTGGAAAAAAGGCGTCAGAGAAAACTTCAGCCTCAGGAAAGCAAACTATAAGAAAGTTCCTAGCAAAGCAATTTTTTTTTTTTAATGCAAGGTTTAAATGCACCCGGTAAAAATGGGGGTGCGGACACTAGGCGAAGGAATATATATATCCCCAGTTGAACACATAGGCACACGTCTGCATGATTTTAAACATCACACAGACATTACA